TATTTATGTGTGTGTGTCTGTATTTATGTATGTGTGCCTGTCTGTTATAGTGGGCTATAGTAAGTAATAGTAAGTGGGATACCTAGCTCAGCCTTCCTACTGGGCATTGCTATAAGGAAGGTTAAAAAAAAATTTAAAAAGGGGGAAAAAAAGGTGGGGAGGGGAATTGAGGAGGGAGAGGAGGGGAGCTGACGCACAGATGAGAAATCATATTATGCGCAAACAGAGAAGTCGTCTGAATATCACCGAAAGAGGAGACCTTCGTTTGTTCCTTACGAAAATCGAACCAGATATCAAATATTTAGTCTCGCAGCATCAACCTCAAGGATCTCATTAATCACTAGTAAAGGTAATTTCAATTTACTTTATTGTTTTCTCATTAAACTTTATAAAGTTAAAAACATTATAAACATGCATTAAGTAGAAATAAAAAAAAAATGTACGTACATTTATTTTTTTTAAAACACCCTCCTTTCTAAAACATATTCAGCACTTGCGCGAAAACTGGTGGGCGGTAAGGAAATTCTTTCACCCAAAAAGATGCATTAGTGGGCGGAATACTTAGATGATTTGCTACTGTTTTGCGACACACCATCACGGCTGAACTGAAACCCTCACAAGTGGTCCAATTCCTGGAATTCGAGATAGACCTCCTGCACACTCCATCTACCGCTCAAGAAGATCGCGGCCATGAGGAAGGAAATTCAAAAGGTACTTCACATGGATCACATCCCGTTATACCTTCTAGCAAGGGTTGTGGGACTTCTCTCAGCCTCCATTCAAGCAATATATCCAGGTCCACTACACTACAGAGCCATGCAACAAAGCGCATTTCTCCTGAACTGGCCGAACCAGGAAGGTTATGCCTTTCCCCCCTTCTCCATGCTGGCAAGAATGATTCACCAAGTACATAAGCTAGGAATCTCCTTGCTCTTACTGACACCACTATGGCAGAGTCAACCATTGTTCCCGGATGTTCTGGAATTGTTTTGCGACCACCCACTCCTCATATTGTCATTCCCACTTCTACTGACTGACCCACGGGGAGAACCTCATCCCCTTGTCCTACAGGAATGCCTAGAACTAGTGTCCTTTAAGATTTCCGGGGATCCTGGTCAACAGAAGGATTATCACAGGTCGCTAAGGAACAACTATGGGATTCATGGGCACCGGGTATGAGACGCTGTTACCTCGCTGCCTGGAACAAATGGGCTAGTTTGTATGTGGAGAGGGGTTCCAATCCCTTTACAGCACCTATCCCTATGATTCTCAATTTCTTATCTTATTCCTTTTCCCTAGGATGTTCCTATCGATCCATCAATGTCACGCAATCTGCGATTTCGGCTGCACACATTCCGGTTCAAGGTCTTCCAGGTAGGTCAGGATCCTTTGATCTGCAGACTACTGAGAGGGATTCGCTTGTCGAGGCCACCAATGCTGAAATATTCCCATCGCTGGGATGTGGAGGTGGTCCTGCGTTTTTTGCGGGATTAGCCAGACAATACATCTTTGTCCTTACGCCAACTTTCAATGAAACTTACCTTGTTACTTTGTTTGGTATCGTTCCGTCGAGTTGCGGATGTTAGGGCGTTTGACGTGGAAGGATTATCTTTTACTCATGAAGGGACTTCGTTTTCGCTTATGAGATGGACTAAGACGAATTCTAACATTTTTTTTACCCATTTTTTTCCTACCGCCCCACACCTTTGTGTGGTCAAGGCGCTGATGCGTTATGTGGAGATTACTACTCCTTTGCGAGGTTCCCAGTTGGGTCCTCTTCGTCGTGTCATATGCCAAGCCACATAAACTAGTGTCCACCACCACTCTCGCTAGGAGGGGTACGCTGGATCTTGTCCTTGGCAGGACGTCTTTCAGTGCACATTCTGTACGGGGTGCAGCGGCTACACACGCCTTCTTGTCGGGTGCCTCTCTCACCGACATGCGTTTGGCGGATTGCTCTTGGGAAGATACCTTTCGCATATTCTTCTTTAACCCTTCTTCTCATGCAGCCCTTTTCTCTTCTTGATGAGCGTTAAAAATGCAAATATAAAGCCTCCTGTCATATGGTAAAATTGTAGATAATGTTAACGTAGTGTACTTAATAATCGTAATTTTGGTAATGACAGGAGGCGAGTATTTCCCTTCCCCTTTTTTCTTCCTCACCTTTTTTCTTATCTTCTCATATTTGTTGTTCATTTCACTTATATGTGGTTATTATGTGTTTAGAGCAACATTATATGGTATTATATAGTAGATTTCGATTTTACCATATGTTGGTGATATGTAGATGAGTTTATCTAGTTTATTAATACAGTTGAATTTAGTAATACTAGGTGTACTGTTCATGATATATATACGTTGCATGAAGATCACTTCAAGTACCTTTCATTTATTTATTATTCCTTTCAGTATGAAATACCACCTATTACCAAGTGCACAAGTTACACCGTCAAAAGAAAGTTATATTTTGGATTTACCTGGATGTTTTACCAAGTTCATCTATCTCTGTTCACATCAAAGAAAGAGGGAGGTTGAGGGGCTGGACTAACTTATATATGTGATGTTACTTGTTTTTGATTGGTTTAAACTTACTTGATTGATCGCCTCCTGTCATTACTAAAATTAAGATGAAAAGTACACTATGTTAACATAATCTACAATTGGTAGCCGCTTTGATTGCACTCACAGGCTTCTGTGAAATTTCAGGCACTTGACAAAATATCCAATAGGTCCTTATCAGGATCCAGGTAGGTTGTAAATGTTGGTTTATTACAAAATACAAATAATGATTTAAAATAAAAGGTCTACATGTTTCGTTCCTCTGAGGGAACATACACAAAATCAAAATGCAACAGAAAAAAATGTATCAGCCTACTCTTCCCATCCAATCCTTCCTTAAAAAGGGATAGTCCCAATGTTCCACAGGTGATCCAGGGGGCATACCCCTCATTCCTCCAATCCCATTACAGGTCCAATATTCTTTACAGGTGGATCTGTACCTCTTCGTTGGAGTACTCCTCCTTATTCCAGCTGAATGCAAACTTTGGCACTTTACTCTATCTCCGACGTCATTTTGGTGCGCTTGCGTTAAACTTACAATAATCATGCGTTCCACCTCTTTATGATCATTTTCTGGTTGTGGTTCACATCACACTTCCGTGTGTTCCACTCAGTGCCTCTACATTCTGAGAGAACAGAATTTGAAGCTTTATGGACTCGGACCTTTTTATTGAAATCTACTTAAAGAAAATTCTATCAATATTGTGAACTACTTTGAAATAAAGTGCGTAGAATGGTGATCCCAATCACCTCTTATTACATTAATAAAGTGCATCTCTCGTCAGTATATTATGAAATACTTTAACATTGTCAACAATATGTCAATTATCAACACACAATCTATCCAATTTTAAGATAGCATTTGTATTATGAGGCAGTGGCGTACACACAACCCATGGGGCCCCGGTACGAAAACTCATCCGTGGGCCCCCCCGCGCTTACTCTGCGCGGGCCGGGGCCGCAACACATGGCGGCGGGCACCCGGTCACAGGGCTACGACCACGGTATGTACGCCAGTGCATGCAGATACAAATACACTTAAAGGACCACTACAGGCACCCAGATCACATCAGCTCAATGAAGTGGTCTGGGTGCCAGGTCCCTCTACTTTTAACCCTGCAGCTAAAAACATAGAAATTTCAGACATGCGCATTCAGAGCTGAGAAGCGGATCAGGGCGGAGGGATCCCCAGCGCCAAGGGAGTCCGGCGCTGGAGAAAGGTTAGTGCTGAAGACACACACACATTCTCACGAACAGACGTATACACACTAGCTAACAGACACACAAACTCTCACGAACAGACGCATACACACTAGCTAACAGACACACACATTTACTGACAGACACACACTCAGTGACAGACATACACACTCACTGACAGACAGAAACATACACACTCACTTACAAAACACACACTCACTAACAGACACCAAACAGAGTCACACAAACTAACACACTCAGTAACAGACACACACAGTAACACACTCACTGACACACACAAACTAACACACACATACTCTAACACTAACACACACACACTCTAACACTAACACACACACACACACACACACACACATTCTAACATGAACACACACACACACACTTTGGACCCCCAGTGCTGTAAATACAAAATTTGAAACTCATGGCCAAGGTCCTTTATTCCTTTAAAGGTGCATGCATATGTTGTATTTTCTACATTCCCTTAAATTGTGCAGCACTATATTTGTGCTTTATTTTTTATATGTGTTGGTGCTTTATAAATACGTAATAGTAATAATAATTCACATATAATAATGAAGCACTGTCTACTTATAACGCTGACATTGTAGTTGAATAGTTAGTGGCGTAAAAAGTTCTACAGCTACACATAGAGCCAGCCACCCACAGACACAGTCAGGCATTTTACTCATTATGTGCAGTCCACACACACATCATTTTTGATGCCATACACACATATTGCATTACATTTGCAGGCGCATGCTCACAGATAGTTGCATACATGCACAAATCACATATGCAGTCACACACAAACATGTACAACCTCGTTCTCGCAGACAGATGCATACACACACTGAATTACATGTGCAGTCACAAGCAAGCACCTAAACACACACATCCCATATGCAGTCACAGATATAAATAAACCCATGCATCTACAAACCCAGGTTTAAGGAACTGAAATTGCTTTTGTTATAATTCGGGTCATTTTTAACTATTAATATTATTTCGGTTTAATGTATTATTATTATAATCCTTCTTATCATTGTTTTTGGTTCTGTAAACTAGAGATCAGTAGTAAATGAGCAGATTCATCAAATACAGAGAGAGTGTAAGATACATGACATGGTAATATGCTAACAAGGTATGAAGTTGTTTGCATGACGAGTTACGGTAGCACCGAGTTACGGTAGCGGGAACATGGAACACCTGTGGGTTTAGGACAGAATCCAAGTACACAAGCTGGAGTTCCTCCCATCATACACTGCCCCAGCCAATCCCTCTGCACAAGTTCCCTACTGAGCCCTGGGATAAAGACACAGAGCTGCTCTCCCCAAGCTCTTTCCGAAGAAGAACCTCTGCCGAAGCTGCTTCACTGCCTCTTTCAAGAGTCTCTACAGGGCAGACATGACCGAAATATATGACGTCATTGTCATCGGCGGGGGCATCTCAGGTGGGCTTTCATACCTAACAACAATAACATTATTGGAGTTGATATTTAAGGTTGATCAGAAGATATAAACATGCATAAATGTGAGATGACTTGTGAAGACAACGCCTTTCATGCGCAGCAAACCAAAATATAATTGCTTTTTAACTACAAGTCTAATCATGCTAGTAAACAAAGCCTGCAGGTAGAATGCCAGAGATTGGCTCCCAACTCAGGGAATAAAGAGAAATTATTGTGAGAGCTTTATTGCATTGCTTTTTTTTTTGCCTCAGAGGATAATAAAATATAATCTTATGTGTTTAGTTTTACTGATTGATCATAATAAAGAAATCCACAGTAAGTGATCTGGATGAGGATGATAGAATGTAGTCTTTGTCTTTTGCTGAAACACGATGGCTGCTGAACAGTTAATTTACATTATACTAACATAAAGGCATTGTACTTCACAACAAACAGGAGAAGCATCCCTCCACCATCTTTTCTGGTACCCCTAGAAGGAGAGGACTTCTCCATTCTTCTCCACCCTTCATTCATATAAAATGGGATTAATGACAAAATGCAGAAATACAAAAAATGATTCCTAGTATTGATCCGTGTTAATTGAGCATGCATTTTATGTGACTGTGTTGTAAACACTGTTGGGATGTGTTTGTGGCAGAGATTGCGTTTATCAGTTTATCAATCTAAATTCTTCAAACGGTATTCACAGAGTAAACTGTCATATACACTTGTTTATGTTACTGCCATTAAGGGTAAGGGCTTAGTACTGGGGAAGAAAAAACACTAGGTATGTGGAATGAAAATGCAGAAATTAAGCACATAGGGGGCCTGCTTCAGTAAATACATTGAAATAACAGGCTAAATTAAATTGAGTGTATTTTTGTATTTCCCCTCCTGCAGCCCCTTGGTATTCGTTGAGGGGCCCTCAACAGGTCTTGGAACAAATGTATGGTGCAATGAGGCTAGGAATTGTTAACACTTTCACAGCTAATATCAAGGACCTGCATTTTGCCTGTAGTTAAAAGGGAAAAGCTAAGGAGCCAGAAGGCACAGAGGAGGCTACATTATGAAAAGGGCAGAGACATTAAACATCATATAGCTCTGAAATATTTAAGCAATATATTGATTTAAAAAAATATATATCTTAATTTAAAATAACTTTTTCTGTTTGGTGGTTAGTGACAGCTCTTATTGTTAAACATGGCTTCCATGGTCAATTTATTCCATACTTACTATTTTATTATTTCTCCTAATGTGTTTTATACCCCACCTCCTATAGACTGTAAGCTCGTTCGAGCAGGGTCCTCTTCAACCTATTGTTCCTGTAAGCTTTTTTGTCATTGTCCTATTTATAGTTAAATCCCCCCTCCGGAATCTGTTGGCGCTATATAAATGGCAATAATAATAATAATAATGAAATATAGTAAGATGATTTTAGTTTGGTGAAGTTCGGGAATATATGATACCCAAATAGTTGATAGCTGTTGACCCCACCACACTGGTGTAGGAATCATTCAACAAACATGATGATGACCCTTTTTTATTCACAATTGTCTCAGTTGACAACAGACTTAACCCTTTATATTCCAGTTAGGACTAACCTTTACATTCTCAATCTACTGTTCTTGTTCAGTGTCTGAATGGGTTATCCCACAATGCCAACGTCACATTATGGGTTAACCCATAATGCCAAGGTGACATTAATAATTCCTTCATGGGTCTCATGTGTCCATAGACTGTTAACACATTTGAATCTTCAGTGGGGATTTTCCATTACAGGGTCCAAAGTCTCTGGTTAAGAGACCAGAAAGCAAGAGTCTGTGCAAGGTTACATTATACTGTACCAAGTATTGTGCAAAAAAACTAGTCAGTATCGGACTAAAATTCTCTGCTTGGCTGAGGAGGATGAATTAGTGGCATGCAGTAAAGGCTGCATATAACCATATCTCGTTGTGCCATTTTGTACATTGTGAACAGTCTTTGCATTTGCATAGTGTGTCTTTAAAGACAATAACTCTTTTTGTTATTTTTTTACCTTTATTCAGCTATATTCCTATTTCACATTTATTATTATTATTATGATATTTATAGAGCGCCGTCAAATTTCGCAGCGCTTTAACATTTAGTACACACACACATACACCATATACCTTTTGATGAAAACTAAGTATTTTTAGTACCAGTTTGATAATTAAAATCTGTCACGAGCTGAATAGAACAAATATGGAAACAAGGTAAACTACTGAAGTGGAAGAAAACCAATGCAAAATATAGTAATTTTAGAAATACCTCAGATACATTGTGGTCCCATTTGTTTGGCAATTACTTCCCCAACATACCCTCACCCCCCCTCCCCCCCCACCCCAAAATAAAAATATTGCAGCTATGAGGCCAAGTTTTTCCTCTGCCCAATCTTCCTCCTCTTATGTATGGATGTCATGAAGAGTGGACTCAGGGGAGGACAAGTGGCAAGCAGGAGGGTGTGTGCCACCTTTGGCTGTCTGTCACCAGCATGTTGTGCATAAGCATTATTGACGTTAGAAAGTCTGGAACTCTTGTTCTGGACTGGCTAAAGACACCCACCCCAATGATACTGTCAGAGGTGAAGTTATACCTCATATAGTGATGTGTCCTTAAGGGGTTAAGGTCAAACTAGCTGAAATGGAAAAAATATCTAAGTCAGCTATTATTTTAGTTTGATTACATTGGCCTAACATTTGCAATTCACTTTTAATTAACTTTGAATCATAACTTTAGTGAATAACTCTGTCATTAAATTTACTACTTTAATAAATGTAACAATGTTGCAAGGTTCACATGTGAGAGTGCAGTTACAATAATGTGACCCAAATGACACAGTTCAGCAGAAAATGGGACTGTAGGATTAAATAATGCTGACCCACATAAATCTAAAGCACTAGAAACATTTTATTGAGAATCTCTTTTGTAACTGAATTGAAAGTATTTAGTGGCATCTACTCGTTTGTGCAAGTGTTTTTTATGTAAGTTAAAAGCTGTTCGTTGCTCTATTATGAATGAACAAGGTCATTCACTCGAATGAGAAAATTGTGAGTTAGAGGTTTATATGAGCTCCTGGTAAATGTTTTACCAATTGTCCTCGGAAATAGAAAACAAGAAAGTACAGCTACAATGTAAATCAGTGGTAGTCAACCTTTTTCTACCTACCTCCCACTAATGCATCTTTCTTGATGGGAAAATTTCCTTACCGCCCACCAGTTTTCGCGTAAGTGCAGAATATTTTTTAGAAAGGAGGGTGTTTTAAAAGAAATAAATGTACGTACATTTATCTTTTTATTTCTACTTTATGCATGTTTATAATGTTTTTAACTTTAGAAAGTTTAATGAGAAAACAATAAAGTAAATTGAAATTACCTTTACTAGTGATTAATGAGATCCTTGAGGTTGATGCTGCGAGACTAAATATTTGATATCTGGTTCGATTTTCGTGAGGAACAAACGAAGGTCTCCTCTTTTGGTGATATTCAGACGACGTCTCTGTTTTCTCTTAATATGATTTCTCATCTGTGCGTCAGCTCCCCTCCTCTCCCTCCTCAATTGCCCTCCCCACCTTCTTTTCCCCTTTTTTCTATTTTTTAACCTTCCTTATAGCAATGCCCAGTAGGAAGGCTGAGCTAGTACTTACTATAGTCCACTATAACAGACAGGCACACATACATACATACATACATACAGACACACACACAAGACACACATACATACAAAGACACCTACATACAAACAGACAGGCACACATACATACATACAGACACACAGACAGGCACACACACACACACACACACAAGACACACATACATACATACAAACAGACACACAGACAGGCACACATACACACACACACACACACACACACAAGAAACACATACATACAAACAGACACACACAGACATGCACACATACATACAGACACACAGACACATACATACAGACACACATACAAAGACACACACATAAGACATACATACAAAGGCACATACACACATACATACAGACAGACACAAGACACACATACATACATACAAAGACACATACACACACAACACATACATACAAAGACACACATACATACATACATACAAAGACACATACACACAAGACATACATACAAAGACACACACATACATACAAAGACACACAAGACATACATACAGACAGACACACACACAAGACATAAATACAAAGACACATACACACAAACAAACACACACAAAATATTTTAGTCACCCTCCTGTTTCCTACCTTTTAGGTGCAGGAGGGTGACATCCCCTGGGGTCCAGTGGTGGCTCAGGTGGATGGGAGTCAGAGTTCCCACTCTGACTCCCTCTGTTTCCTCCCAAGCGGTCTGTGTGTTAGCTGGGAGGAGTGACGTGCAGTCACTTCCTCCCAGCTCTGTGTGATGTAATCACAGGGGGCCAAGTCGCGCTGTTAAAATGCCCAGCGCTGACCGGGCCCCCTTACAATCCATAACCATCGGGTGGCCTTGACAGCATGGGCTACCCGATGAACTACTTGGACGCAAATGGTGATGGTGGGTACCAGGTCGCAGGGGTACCACTGGCTCGCACCCGCCCGCCCAATCTCTAAAATTGAGGAAATCCCTACGGCCCACCTGGAATCTTGAAACGCCCACTAGTGGGCGGTAGGGACCAGGTTGACGACCCATGATCTAAATCGTTTTTGGATTATGGGATTTTTTGTAATCTTTTTTTTAGATAATGCTTTTAGATGCTCTTACACTTTTGATGTTTCCTTTAGGTAGATTAGACCTTGGCATATATTATATAAACAGTTTTCCAGTGGTTTGGAGTTATGTCAGATCAGCACCATTCAATTCCATTCCATACCATTTTATGTGCGGTTCGACTTTTAGATTTGTTCTGGGTAATATTAAACATATACATTATTTTGCTCCTTTGCTAAAGTGTTCAAATTACATGCTGCTAATACAAATGCAATTTAAGGGACAATATGGTCATAGATTGCAGGACTGACGTTCAGAGTTCCCTATAGACGTGCAATTTTTTTTTAATAAACAGAAAAATAAATATACAGAAGCAGTATTAGTGAAAAATTTGAGTTTTGTAAAAGTAAAAAAAAGAAAATAGAGAAATGCTATTTAAAGGGGCACTATAGTCACCAGAACAACTACAGCTTAATGCAGTTGTTCTGGTGAGTATAATAGCTCCCTTTAGGCATTTTTATGTAAACACTGCCTTTTCAGAGAAAAGGCAGTGTTTACATTGCCCCTAGAGACAGCTCCAAGTGCCACTCCTTAGATGGCCATTGGAGGGGCTTCCAGGCTCAGGGCTGCACAGTAAGCAGCCCTACCGTTCAGCATCCCCACGCTCTGCATGGAGACGCTGAATTTTCCTCATAGAGATGCATTGATTCAATACATCTGTATGAGGAGATGCTGATTGGGCAAAACGGTGCGTGGCCTCACCCCCTTTCCGATTTTAGCCAATCCAATGCTTTTCCCATGGGAAAGCATTGGATTGGCAAAAAAAAAATCTGCAATTTTGATGATGTCACCAAGGGGGCGTGGCCAGCGTCGGCAGACCCACGGAGAGCTGAAAATAAGGGGAATTTTCCCCCATTCTGAGGGGGCTAAGGGATGGGGGGTGGGGGGGGGGGAGGGGGGCAAGCCGCCTATATGGTGGGTTTTCACTATAGAAAACATGAATTCTTGACCATATAGTGATGCTTTAAGTTCCCAAGAAAACACAGAGCAATTGCATTTGTCACAACAGGTGTTGCTGTATGAAAGATGGCTCTTTTAACTACCAATAAATATAATCAGCAATACTTATAGCCCTAATAACCTTGCTGACACTTCTTCTTCATCTATGTATATTTACAAAAGAAGAATATACCATTAATATCTAATATTCACTTTATTAATTAACATGATACACTATATATTCGGGTGTTTTCACTAAAGTGAGAATTGTAAGTGAATTTAAAGTGAATTTCAAATTTAATGCCAAAGTAGCTGAACTGGAAACATGGCTAAATTTGAGACATTTTCCAGTTCAGCTATTTTGGCCTCAAATTTGAAATTAATTTTGAATTCACAATTCTCCCTTTAACGAATAACCCTTTATTTTTTTTATTTTTTTTTTATGCATTTATATGGAAGTCTTGCCAAGAATATTATATCTATATATAGGACTTCTAATTGGCGGTAAGGAGTCTCATTTAACTGGGCAAGAGATATTTATAATTGCATAGAAACAAAGGTCCCCTGATGGCTAGAATTCTTCTGGTAATACATGCATAAACTGTTTATGAAAGGGAATTAGTCCCAGAGGACACTCACAATGCTCTACCTCTGAAAACAAGAGCTATATACCTAACCACTGGTAATTTGTCATTGTTTTCAGTGACTTCACTCTGTTGTTGTATTTGTGTTGTTACAGCGTATCCGATTGCTGGAACTTCTGTCTGCCAGCATATCAAAGGGACACTACAGTCACCAGTGCAACTACATGTATTCCTAACCCTATAGTGTTAACACGACCATCTAGCCCCCCTGGGCCCCTCATGTCTCCATAAATATAGTACAAATCTTACTGTATTCAAGCCAGAAGCTGTAAATCTGCATGCTGAGACTCAGGAAAAACAAGCAGTCTGCTGACATGTGATAGCCTGATCCAATCACAGTGCTTCCCCATAGGATTGGCTGAGACTGACAAGGAGGCAGATCAGGGGCAGAGCCAGCATGATTCCAACACAGCCCTGGCCAATCAGCATCTCCTCATAGAGATGAATTGAATCAATGAATCTCTATGAGGAAAGTTCAGTGTCTGCATGCAGTGGGAGGAGATACTGAATCACAGGATGCTCGTGCACAGCAGATCTGAGTGGATGGAGGCATATTATGCCTCCATCAACTCAGAAGTCCCTCTGGTTCACTCTGAGTGACTGCAACTGGAGGTGTTCCTAGCTTTCAATGTAAACACTGTATTTTCTCAGAAAATACATTGTTTACATGAGAAAGGCTGCAGGGAGCTATAGTTCTCACCTGAACAACCTGATTAAGCTGAAGTTGTTCAGGTGACTATAGTGTCCCTTTAATACGCGTTCTAAATCAAATATCTTGTAATAGATTCTTAATAGGTCAGGCAGAGACTAACAGAAGCAGTGATTATGGTTTCATTTCATTATACGCAAAAGCTTTTAGTGATTTAATTAAATGTAAATTATTTCATAATAACAGGTTGGCGCCCTTCCTTCCTTCCTTTATAAAGAAAATAATTGAATCTAATGCTTCTCCATAATGTGTTCAGCATCAATGTGTTGTGCATGATTATGCAGAACGTGAAGACCTTTGGCAATCGAAGCTCCTAACCTTTTTGGTTTTTGCTTCCCAAGCACCACCAAGCCTCAATAGCAAACCAGTAACCAAACTCATGCTGATGATTTGCATTAACAACGAAACAGCTGTCCATGAGTGGTTCACTGGCTTTGCATATTTCCCTAAGTTGTGTTTCAAAGCTGTTGTATACAGCAAACACAGACTCAAAGGAATCCATGTTTAAAATGGAAAAAAATCTGATTCTTTGTTAAACTAATTTGCATATGCCCACCCAGAATCCTTTGCGGTAGTAACATCACTGCAAATTTGTGATTTCTGTGGGAAAAGCAAGTATTGTGGCTTGACTGGTGTGTAGATTTTTGTTTAACATTATATTAACTATCCACAGACTTCAGGTGGAAGGGGTTTTCACAATTTTTCCCCTTTTTGGTTTGTGCTATATATATATATATATACACACACCATGGTCCTGCACTTGCCTGTCAGCGTTCCTTGGTGCTGCTCCAGCCCCATACAATATACCAACAAAAAATGAGAGCACTCATTGGATTTGTAGTATTCTCCAAACTTTTATTTTCCCAACAGTTATATTACATCAACATTTCATTCCTGTTTCAAGATGAAAGTCTGTGTTCAGGACAGAAATGTTGATGTAATGTAACTGCTGGGGAAATACAATTTTGAACAATATTACAAATCCAGTGAGTACTATCTTTCGTGTTGGTATATATATATATACATTATATATATGTGTGTGTGTTTTTTTAATCACATATTAAAACTGTATCTGCTACACTGCCACCTTTAGAGCTCTCAGCGAAAGGACTCCAATAACACCAAATCCCCTAAAAGAAAGGTTTACAAATAGATTATCCGAGAAACACAACAAATATAAATAGACCTGAAACACAGCTCAACAGCTATCAGTAATGCACAACAATAGTTGTCAAATGATCTAGCTGGTAGAGTCTAGTACACTGATCTAAAGAGGACTGAAGCACAAATGGTGTAATATAGTGTAAAATATGAACAACATGTAGTACAACATTTATTTAAATTCAGAACTCAAACCATGTTTTGGCTACAGAAATCAATCCTTTGAACTCAGAATTCTAGAAACAAGCAACATAAAGTACTCATTTTGAGTTCTGCATACGATGGAGGCAGTTTGCAGAATTCACACATCACTGAAACACATGGGGGTTGCGGACAGTCTATCTTCTCCATTAACATTATTGTAGAAAGTTGATCTGTTGACTTCTATCATTCCCCTTACTTTTGTCTATCAGTATATTTCCTCATGACTTTTAAAGTGATCATGCACCTCCATTTCTTCAGATGGCATATAAGACAGTGGTTGAAATTATTATTATGAATTCTAAATAGGCAAACAATTTGAACAATGTCAATGGCTCAAATCAGTCTACAAAAACAGAAAACAATTGAAACAATTAAGTTTCATAATGGCAGGTGTCATTTGTGGTTTAATTATGGTTGATTTCACCTACAAAGTAGTTTTATGTTGACACTTTTAGGAAGTTTATTGTGCAAAGGCACAAGGTTTACTGAAATAAAAACCACAATATTCAATTAATGTTATCAACCTATAATAATAAAACAATAACAATGGATTTGACTACTCAATGTAGTGCAAACTATTAAATATACTAATAATAGTAGTTAATTAACAGTTCAATTTTAAACTTACCTTCATTTTTTAAAGGGGAATTATTTTGAAAAAATAAAAAAAGTTTATTTGTAATAGGGTTGTAGGGCTTTTACGGTAGGTATGCCAATTCTTCATATATTAACCTATGTGGTCAGGTTCTGAAGCGTACATAACTCCAACATCCCCTCAACAAGACTAATCACAGCTAATCCCTATTGTAAATTAGGGGACTTCTAAAACCATTAAAGTGGGTCATCCAAGTGATCATCCAAAGCATAAGCTTTATATATTTTTCACAAAAGCAGTTTTCCATGATACACACTCATACATTCATATAATAATCACTTGCCGTCACGTTTCACAAATAAAAACAATCACATGTTTAAAAAAAAAAAAAAGGATAGTAAATGAGCTAATTGATGAACTTCTAGAGTTATGACCAGCTAGAGAGAGAGTTGTTAGACTAATTTAGGATTGTTGTGAATACTCTGTACAGTAGAACTGCAATTTTCATAATGTTTTGACATTTTATATGGAGACAAAGCATTATGGCAGTTGTAGTTCTACAACATCAGGGGATCCACCTTTTTCAGAGCTCTGGTTTAACACATTCTCTATCCAGATTTGTCCATTAATTCCTGCATAAAATACATAGATCGGTTTTTATTTGTCATAGCCTCTATGACTAGTTTTCAGGCATGCCTTGCAATGACCAGATGGTGCTTGCTATAAAGCGGTGTTTGATCATTCAACATGTAAGGATTTGTCATATTAATGTGCAGCTAGGTACTGTAACCCACTAGAGTAAGTAACAACTACCTTACAATAAAATTGAAGATGAAAGAGTTGTGCAGCTCATCGATATCTAAAATATAATTAAAGTACACAATAATGAGAAAAATACAAGACTTATTTTTGGTCTGGTTGCTATTTAACTCTCCATTTTACTGTTCTGAAATGTCAGAACTACCACTGGTGTAACTGCATTGGGCCTGCAAAGTGAGCGGGTCCATAGGTGCCCTTCACATTTGCTTCCACCAGATGAGATTAGGTATTCTGGGGCCCGATTGAGCCCTGCGTCCCTTTTATAATGCACCGGACAAGGGCCTCTGGTCAAGCTGCAGCTTGGTGCTGGGAAGAAGTGAAGTTACTTCCTTCCAGTGTACAAAGAGAGAGAGCCTTGGCACAGACTCCAAAATGTATGAAAACAGGAGTATAGCTAAAAGTATATAAAGTATGACTTCTATATGTGTGTGTTAGTGTACATGTATCTGTGTCTGTGTATGTATGTGCGCAGGAGTGTGCATGTGTGTCTGTGTCAGTGTGTGTATATGGGTGTGTTTCAGTATGTGTTTTTGTGTGTATGTGTATCTATGTGTGCCTTTGTCTGTCTATCTATGCCCATCTCTATCTGTGTATACCTCTCTCTACCTGTCTTTGTCTATCTGTGCCTGTCTGTGTCTGTGTTTTCCTGCCATTATCTGACTATGCCTGTTTGTAATGTCTCTATTTTTTGTGTGCCTGTTTGAGCCTGTCTGTGTGTACCTGTCTATATCCGCTTGTGCCTGTCTGTGCTTGCGTCTTCCAATCTGTGCCTGTGTGTCTATTTGTGTGTGTCTGTGTATGCCTGTCTGTCTGTATGTGTCTGTTTGTGTGCTTGAGGAAGGAGGTGAAATGTTTTTGGACTCAAGCCCTTCGTGTTTTTGGACTCTAGAAACACCTCTGCTTTGTTTCATTCCAGCAAAGTAAGCATTGTTGTGGCTTAATTGGAAACCCCATCATATTTGGATTGTCACTTTCTCTTGGATCAAGAGTAGTATTACAGATGTTTGAAAAGCTGAACATAGTTACTTGAAACATGTTTTGTTCACTAATTGCAGAATATCGTAAATATCAACCAACTTAAGACAACAAACAAACAAAAAATTACTTCTGCTTAGTAAATGATCCCGATAGTTTTAAAGTAGCACTGCAGCTAGCTCTTATGGGGTCACTGTCATCTGTCACTGTCATCTAAATTTTGATTTTTTTTTTTTTAAATTCTGTTTCTTGGCTACCACAAAAAATAGAAAGCATATATTAGGGGCATCTATTTGACTGCTAATATATCACCTGTAAACATTTAGTGGTGGGGATTGGTGAAATATATTTTAATATCTCCCACACATCCCCACTGTCTATGTGCAGTGTGTTTTTTGTTGTGTATTGATAATAATAAGTGGATATGGACCCTTCAAGCTCTTCTTCTACAAACCTTTGTTAACCACGAGGGAGTCCCATGCCTATATGTAAAATTGTCTGTTTATTAATTGCTCACTTTTTACAGGAAGGCTAAGCACTATCTGTTATATGGTACGTATGCACAATATTAGACGGTGCAGGAGTGAGATCAAAGAGTCATTGGTTCATAATAAAGAACTCTCATACTGCTGCTGATAGAATTAAAGGATAGAAGTAAATCATGAGCGAAAATTAAAAACTTGAGCTCAAATTTAAAGTTAAAAGATCCTGTTTCCAGCTGGACCATCCGGGTTTTGAGACTTCTGTCCACCATCTATCAGCAAAAGCAGCATGCATGTCACAATAAATGTACTCACTTGTGTAGGATATTCTCATGTCATTGAACCCATGTGTAGAGTGCTTTGATAATGCCAATTGTATGGTCTGGACTAGCCAGCTTGGCATACAGTCGTAGCAGGCTGACACACCACCGTTTGAGGTGGGCAGTAGTCCTGCTGATGATTCTGAAATCCTCAACTTGAATAATTGACCAAGCTCAGTTTTGTGAGTCAGGTAGAAGGCAGTGCCTAGTAAACGGTCTATCAGCCAGACTCATTCTAATAAGTCAGCTATATTTTAAGTTGTAACTGACCCAAGCAATGTGAGTCTTTTACAATACCTCATTTTGCAGGTGGACTTGCCCTTAGAAAAACAATATTTCGAGATTGCAGTTGTATCTGTCAATTTGAAATTTGGTTGTAAAGTTAATGCAACTTGGCTAATGGAGAAATGTTTTAACTTTGGCATGTCCAGCACATTATGTTAGTGTGTTCACCCACAGAAAATGACTAAACAAACTATTTAAAAAAAAAAAATAAAATTAAAAGTTCGAACCGGACGTATAAGAAGATAATAATGACTATATTCTTCAAAAATATAACATGCTAACCTGCACACATAAGTGTCCACAGAGATCTAAACAGGGGACATGGAGGGTAGTTTGACTGTCTCACTCAACTTATCACAAGTGCATGCATATAATCTCTAAAATTAAATATTACAAAAAGGACACCCAAAACATATTAAGGAAAAATGCAATGTAATTTTTTCCTGAAAAAAATAGCATTTCTTATTTTCATAAAACAGCACCATTTTTAATACTTTTTATTTATTTTTTTCTATAGAAATTTGATTGTTATATACACAGAATTGATGACTGCAAGGCTTGTCTGCAACAGCAACTTCAATATGATTGTACATGTTATCTCTGTCAGTTTGAGGACTGGTTTTGATTGATTATTCGTTATATGCAAAAAAAACCTATCACATAAATAATATATTATCTAGTAAATATGTATTATTGTTTGTAGGCCTCTCTGCTGCTAAACTGCTTCATGAATCAGGACTTAATGTTGTTGTATTAGAGGCCCGTGACAGAGTTGGAGGAAGAACCCATACACTACGTGTAAGTACACCAATACTTGATAAAATACCTAGTTCAATTAATGGTTTCTTAAATGGACATTCCAGGCACCATAAACACTACAGCTTCTTTTATGGGTTATGGTGCAATGAAGATATGTATGCAGATTCTCAGTTAGTTTTGTCAAAATCTTAACAATCTGTGCAAGCACCCAAAGTCATTCACATTTCCTTGCAATATCATCTAGGGAGTTTCACATTTTCTCAACCAAGCTTTTGTATGCTATTTACATGTGCTACATGATCATGTTATACAGCGAGCTGTCAATGGAGATATTACATAGGCTGATTGGTATATGTATGTTTAACAAACTGATGCCAGCTTCTGATTCCGAACACCAAGAAGGCCTTGGGCAATTGGCACCAGAGACATGCACACTTCAGGACTGTATTCAATAAAATAATGGTTGTGGCCAATAGTCATACATGGACCAGTAATGCGTTTGCTAAATCAATGACTTTGTAACTCCTTGTTCTGTATAGACATATCCTTTGGTTGGGAGACAAGTCTTTTTTTTCAGTTATTAACCTACAGTATGTCACGTAGACTGAATTAATGGGATCTGTTCAACAAATGCTAATTGTGCACATAGAAACATTTGGCTGTTCTCACTGATTAAAAAAACTGAACAGGAAAGTCTCAGCACAAGTGACTGGAAGCAGCCAAGTTTACCTGCACGTACACAAAGGTTTCTTTCTTTTTAAAATTATTTAGTAGAACCCAGGATTTACTTTAAAGATGAGGGCATGAATATCTTCCTTACAGAGCAGTGTACATCACTAAGAAAACTTGGCAAAACAGTAATCCTTTGTCATTAAAGTGTGATTAGGGGTACTTATCAGTCCCTACGTCAGACGGTGATACATGTCTTGAGTGTGACAGAGGTTACAGTCCACAGCATCTTGACTGCAAGCACCCATAATCCCATTCCCCACTAACTCTAATCACCACTTATCCCAGACACCCTTTTGTAACTCTAGACATATCCTAAGATTATGTGCTCAATTCCTAAACCTCTCTTATTCTAAGATTCTCTAACCCTAGTCACCCCTAATCTTACATGTAATGGCATCATTACTAGTGTTAATTTTGTCGACTAACAATTTTAGTCAAATATCCGTTGACTAAAGGTTTTGAGATTTAGTCGACTAAAATTAGGCTAAAACTAAAACAATTCAGGTAACCAAAATACGACTAAAATTAAAATCTCTTTTTAGTCAAAAGACTATGGCTAAAACTAAATTGCCACAAAAATGTTGTTACAAAATACCATTAATAACATTGTAATAATGACATACAAATCTTTTAATGCAACACCATTTCAACTTTGCAGAAACCAACTTTACATTTTAATACAACAATGTTTCTATATGTAGAGCTTCTCCATTGATGCTCAGGCTCCCACAGTCCATATGTGTTTTCTGGAGTGCGTCTGAAATAAGTTAACCTATTGTTAAACATATTGTTGCTCAGCTTTACTGAGTTCTTAATGTAATGCAAAGACAGATGCATAACTTTTTTTTTTATAATTTTTTTTAACGCATTACATTTTGAAAAATGGATTTATTTTAATGTATGTGGAATACAGAGTAATCAGTTGCCTTGTGTCCCTTTCTGCAAAAGAATAAAGAAACTCAATATGTGGATGTTGGTGGTGCATATGTTGGACCAACTCAAAATCGTCTATTGCGAATGGCAAAAGAACTTGGTGTTCAGACATACAAAGTGAATGTCAATGGAATTCTCATTCAATATGACAAGGTGAGCAATACCTCATTAACCTTGCATTGACTATTTCAATAAAAAAAAAAAGTTGTGTAACATTAAATTAAAATATGATGTGATCTTCCACATAACATAAACATAGAAAATATTGTAATACCAGGTATAGTTTGCTGTCATGAAATTCCTAAGCATGTACAGTTATATACAAGAATAATTGTAAACAAGCTACATTTACATTTTATTTATTTTTTTAAATGTTTTTGTTTATGCTTTACAAAAATATAGTGTGTTGAAAGATCTTTCAGAGACTACATAATATTTCTTAACAGGGAGGTTCACAAATATTTGCATGAAAGCAGAAATATAATTTGCAATATACTATAAGTGTGACAAAAATAGTAATAAATTTGTCAAATACTCTGCTTATGGCTGTTTGTAAGGAACTGGATTTCCAGTTCCAATAAAGCACAGTGAGTGCATCATGAGACGTGGTTCAGCTGATAGTAGCAGTAGTAATAATAATAATAGTATATATAGTAATGGTATAATAATAGTAATAATAAGTAGTTTTCACCCCATAAGTTTTATAAATCTAAACGAATAGTCTACAATTGTAAGATACGCCAATTTGAATTTGCTCCATGGAGAAAATTGTCTTCAGTGTGTGCTTTTATTAAGTCTTTAATTCAATATAATGGAACATCACATTTTATGCACTACCCACTGTAACCCCTTTGTAATTCATGTGATATGTATATGTATATATATATATATATTTAAAAGTCATCACGTTGACCGCACTCCAAGGCCTTATTTCTAAGTATAAGATTTAACATTTAATTCATAATTTTTAAAAAGCAAATATCAACATTTCAGCTCCCCCTGGAACTTTTTTCTGATGTAAGCTACAGAAGGAGCTGAAACTTTGATATTTGTTTTTTTAACATTATGAATTAAAAGTAAAATTTTATTATCCGGGAGTGCAAGTTTACAAACAAAAACACAACCCCAGTGAAAAATATACAATTTGAAGCAAACCAGGACTTCCCTGTGATTTAGGTGAAGTATCCAGGTAAATCCCCAAAGACTTCCTCTTGTCTTCAGCAAGTATATACAAATAGAATAGGGGATAATATGCTAAATGCAAATCAAATAAAAAATAAAAAAACATAGCGTTTAACTGTGTGGGGACTAATAATAGTGTGCAATCACAATTGGTCACTCACAAATTATTTGATGTAAAAAAGCCTTGAATGATATCTTTTTCTTCAGTATCCACTGTGTTGTCCCTCCTCACATTTCCATCAGCAAATTGGTATATATGACTCAAAAGAGAAAAATATATACAAAATGTAGTGCACTTCCAGAGTATATTAAAAAGTAATTTAATGACTTACATTTAGGTATAAAACAAACAGCATGTCACCATGAAAACATCCTACGCGTTTTGTCCTTCAGTTGGACTTTCTCAGGGACTTGGTGAAATAAAATACAATAATGGTAATAGCAGCAATCGAAATTATCCCTCCCACAGTCCTTTTATACATCCCCCATTGATTGTTCAAAGATTTTCGGCCGGTATTCAGTTTCCGTTTTGGCAGCAAAAAAACGGATGACGTCATCACGTGCGCCGTATGCGTTCCACCTTGCGTTCCTCGAACCCGGAAGTGGATCGCAATCATTTGTCTTCCTCTCTTTCTCTAAAACATTTGCTCCAAACGTGTATGGGCAGATGGACAAAACGGAAGGGGGGAGGAAATGCTATTAGAATAATTCTCTGGATGGCACTACATTAATAAAATACAGTAAAATAATTGTACTGGTTTTAATTATTACGATCTATGGTTGCAGATGCATATGTATACATCCTCCAAATTTACAATTTTTGCCAATAAAAGATTGTCTACACTTATAGAAAATCTTAAATTGCAAATTATATATAAAGTGCATTTTTATGTAGTGGGTATATACATACATGTCTACATCCTCACAGTTCATAGGACATATATATAAAAAAGTTTCATAAAGTGCATAAATAGTAATATAGTTTAACATCATATATAGTTATAATACAATGGTCACTCTGTGATAGCAAAATGGTGAGACCCATTACATTGCACTTTTGCCTCTATCTCCTTGAAAATATATATATAGAGAATTTTTTCTTTCTTTTTGTCTTTTTTACTTATTTTGAAAATAGAATTAGAATATAAATGAAGAAATAATTAATTAAGTAATAAAAATTAAAATGAAAATAAAAATACAAATAGGAATAAAAATAAAATAAAAATAAATAAAATATAAAAAATTAAATATAAAAAATTAAAATAAACAAATAAATATAAAAATAAATAAAGTATTATGAATGAAATATATTGAAAATGAAATGAAAATGAAAATAAGAATGGAAAAAGTATAAATATAAAAATAAAAATAAATATAAAAATGAAATAAAAATAATAATGAATATAAAAATAAAAATGAAAATAAAAATGAGAATAAAAAATGTAATTAAAAAAATAAAATAAAAAATAGAAATAAAAATAAAAATCTAAAATAAAAAATCCTTAATTTCCAAATGAGGGAAAAGTGCAATGTTCCCCAAACACTCCACAAACAAAAACAGAGTTAAAATTAATTATTTATTTAATCTTCAAAAAAGCTCCACCAATCAATATCCAAATTTAAACCGAAGGGTTGAAGTGTCTTTAGCTTATTTATCCAAAAGGTTTACAGTATGTATACATATCTATCTATCTATCTATATATACATACTCAAGTATAAGTCGACCCGAATATAAGCCGAGGCCCCTAATTTTACCACAAAAAACTGGGAAAACTTATTGACTCGAGTATAAGCCTAGGGTGGGAAATGCAGCAGCTACTGGTAAATTTCTAAATACAATTAGATCCCAATAAAATGACATTAATTAAATATTTATTTACAGTTTGTGTGTGTGTTTCTGTAGTGTGTGTGTATAATGAATGCAGTGTGTGTGTTTGTGTAGTGTGTGTATATAATGAATGCAGTGTGTGTTTGTGTGTAGTGCGTGTATATAATGAATGCAGAATGTGTGTGTTTGGGTGAATGCAGTGTGTGTATATAATGAATGCAGTGTGTGTGTGTATATAATGCAGTGTGTGTGTGTATATAATGCAGAGTGTGTGTATATAATGAATGCAGAGTGTGTGTGTGTATATATAATTAATGCAGTGTGTGTATATAATGCAGTGTGTGTATATGATGCAGAGTGTGTGTGTGTTTGTGTAGTGTGTGTAAACAGGGTGGGGGGAAGGGCATTTTTATTATTTAAATATTTTTATTATTTTAATATTTTGTTTATTTTATTTTAATATTTTGATTATTTTAATAATTTAATTATTTTTTTAATGAATTGTTTAATTTTATTTTTGTCCCTCAGTCCCTGCTTGTTACCTGGCAGGGAGGAGGGCTATGTGAATCCCTGGTGGTGCAGTGGCATGGGCTATGCAGGGGGGACCAGCAGCAAGTTGTTACTTACCTTTGTAGCAGCTCCGGTCAGCTCCGTTCAGCTCCCCCATTCAGCTCACAGTGTAAGTCTCGCGGTCTGCGTGCCATGCGGAGCGTTGCCACAGTAACACATGGCAACGCTCTGACGGCAGCGGGTCTCGCGAGTCTTACACTGTGAGCTGGACGGGGGAGGTGAACGGAGCTGACCGGAGCTGCTACAAAGGTAAGTAACAGCTTGCTGCCGGCCCTCCAGGACCACCAGGCTTTTCATGAGCCCGGCGGTCCTGGTCTGTATTATGGCAATGTAAGTTGCCATAATACAGTCCTTGACTCAAGTATAAGCCGAGTGGGGCTTTTTCAGCAAAAAAAATGTGCCAAAAAACTCGGCTTATTCTCGAGTATATAAGGTATATTAAAAAAAAAAATATATATATATATTGTATTCACACCTGTAGTCCTTGACGCATGCACAACACTACTGCATATGCATCAAGTACACAGTATACTGCTCACACACACAGCTATTTAACATTTCATGCATTTGCAAATCAAGTTAGATTATGTCAGCCATTACTCATATTACACCGAGAAAAACTAACAAAAAGGAGACAGCTTCCATAATTAAAGCTAATTGATTTTCCATTTGCCCATTATGAAGCCTTTGCAGTAACAATACAGATGACAAAGTAGTCACAACCTTTCGTAAGCACAGCAAAGTAGGAAAAATTACAAAACAATTTAAACATAATAAGGATTTTTGGAAATAAATGTACAGTGGGACCTCGGTTTACAAACGAACATAATTTTCGGTTTACAAATGAAAATCCATTGAAAAAAATGCCTCGGTTTACAAAACAGTTTCGCACTACAAACAAGTTTCCCCAGGATGCATTGCACCTGGAAGGTATATAGCACCGCCCCTTGCATGCTGGAGCCTGTGGGTTGCACGTTGCGTCGAGTGTGGAGGTGTTGGAGTGGCTTTTGCATCGAGTTTTGGAGCCATTGTGGAAATTGTTTGCAGTTGTTTTTGGACTTTTTGGTGCATTTCTCAAGCGGTGGAAAGGTAGGGAGCTGAGCTTTGTCATTTGCATGCCTTTTATTGTGTGCTCTGCATTGTGGGTTGGTTTCCATGCCAGCTCATTTTGACTTTTTTTCTGACCTCCAGAACGGATTAATTGGTTTTCAATGCATTCCTATGGGAAACCGTGTTTCGGTTTACAAATTTTTCGCAATAAGAAACGTCCCGGAGAAGGCATTAAATTCGTAAACAGAGGTCCCACTGTATTGAGTACCTAAAGAAAAAAATATTTTAGGAAAATGATTATTTTTCAAATGAGTTGCTGTGATTTTGTAAGTGTGATTTTATGAGTAAATTGTTGTGTCTTCCAGGGTAAAAGTAACAAATTCCATGGCGCCTTTCCAACTTCATACAATCCTTTGGTGTTTCTGGATTATAACAATTTCATGAGAACAATGGATCAGTGGGGAAGTGAGGTATGGCTTTATACATATAAGTGTCATTGAAAAATATATTCTAACATGATCAGCTAAAACAGCAGAGTTAACATATTCAGTGCATTAATACAAAGTTAGCATTTTTGTGCAAACATGTATATATGGTATGTTGGTTTTTGGATGGATATTTCAAACAATAGTGTAAAATTAGAGAATAAAAGAAAATAGTATATTTCTTTCAAGGTTATTGACTATTTAGCTGAGCCATTTTGGACTCAGTTACTCCAAGCATTATAACTTCTATAGCCCACTGTAATGGGTGTGATGACAGTATTATCCTGGCCTTCTCTCCCTGGTAATGGGGAAAACCTTTTAGCAATGATTTGCCCTCTTACTTGGGTCCCCACTGAGCTCCGAGGCTCCTATCCAAATGGGTGACGCACTTTGGGCTTCTGCTGAGCTACAAAAACCGATACAGTCTCCATTCAATGACTGAGAGCGTTAGCAGATGGTTCTCAGCCAATGATTGTAATTCTGTGCAAGGAAGTAATAATAGCTTCTTGATCCAAGGAGAAATCTGACTGCCATTCTGGGGTCAAGAAGAAATTTGTTTCTAAATTGTTGCTAAATTTGAAGATCTTCACACTGTTTTGTTTTTTAACTTCTTTTGGATCAACAGCAAAAACAGACGTGAGTAGGGCTGAACTTGATGGATGTATGTCTCTTCAGCTATGTAACTATGAATCATGCATAGGATTGATATTAACAAATGTCTAGTTCTGGGCTGACTACTCTAGATCCAGGCTGGGTAATGACGACCCTATGATATGGCCAGAGATGTATTTAAGCCCCTGGCAGCAGAGGGGTTTAACTCTTTTTGTGCAACTCTTAAAAGCGAAACGCTGTACAACAGACTCCAGGCACCATGACCACTTCAAATCACTGAAATGGTCGTAGCACTTGGAGAACCCTTTAAACATATAATTCCCCTGTGAATTCCCAGCTCCTCATGGTTTTGTGAATACTCTGTTTCGTTACTATTGGTAAAATTATCTGTTGGGTTTATTCACTAAACACTGAAATATAGTGAAAAAGCCTGACGTGTATTGTGGTAAGTTCTAAAACCTTTTTACATGTTTTGCAAGGGGGAGGGGGTAGTAACCTTTTTTATTTTCTGTGTTAAAATAACCCTTTAATAAGGCATAGCAAGAATCTCCAGTACCCCGTATTATTCTTGAAAGAATTATAGGTTCATACCTGCATAGTTACACAACACACCTCGCGTTTAGTTCTAAGTATTTGTTTAATTCATATTTAGTATCTACAGTATATATATTTATTTTTCAAACCCCTCCCTCAAAATTAGTAAATATCTATTCCATTACAAGGACAGAAGCCGTAACTTGTCTAAAATAATTTAACATGATTCTAAGTTATTTATTAACACACCACTACTGCATATTGAACTCCAACAGTACATGCATCATTGTCAAGCTGAGTGATAATATTTAAGTGATAACAGAGAAACGAACATTGGCAAAGTGAAATACAGTCAATAAAATAACATTTTATTAGACCTGTTACCTTTGGTACAGTATACCTGTTCAGTATTTACTAGCACTGCACATACTTGAAAACCACTTTCAAACAATTTGTCTATCAGCTTGTGCTGGGATTTAAGTATTTTTGCATTTTTTTGTATATTTAATTTAGATATATAATGCCTTGAAGTACACAATATACCATGCCGGTACATCATACATAACAGTACTTTGAAGATCAATGATGTAACTATGACAGATACCAAAAATTGTACCACTGTTGCCAGGTAACAGGCCAACTAACTGCTCTGGGAATTGGGTTGTCTTAGGTTTCATATCCTACCAGAAACACACATGGCATTATGAAACATTAACACTGATAGCAAAGTATACAATGTGGAAGAGAGGCTTGGAGGTATATATATATATATATACACTGCCACCAGAGTCCAGTATTTACCACTCAATGAAAATTATACAAAAAAAACCATAATACTAAATGTTCCCAAAAATGTATCAGGGATTTTGTGGTTACAGGTAGTTTAGATTTAAAAATTGATAATGAGGTACTCTGCTACATAAGTAGGTAAGTGAATCACTGTTTTCATGGTTCTGAGGGGACATATCCTGTGTGCTTGTAAAATGTTGACATTTCCCATCTCAAGAAATTTATAATTTTACCAATGTAGAACTTAATTACGATTATATTAATATGTGGTTAGAGGGGGCACTAGGATACTTAAAACAAGTCAAGTGTCTAATAATATTGGAAACAGTAATGCACATGTCCAGAATGTGCCTCTGTGACTTCCCAAAACAACGTGAGATATGTGGCATAATGCTGGGCTGCAGGCGAATGAAAATGGGAGTGAGATAGCTCAGTGGATATGGCTCCAGCTGTTCCTTTGGCTCCAATTAATTTCTCAGCAAGCTGTTCATGTTTGGTCAAATGAGTAGCAATAACTTTGGTAATGTTAACAACTATGCTCCAGGATCCCTATATATAGATTGTAGGAATGTATATATTAGACCCTCCCCTTTTTATGTTTGGCACTGCATTTACATAAACCTCTTATATTCAACTGAAAACTGTCTGAGTATCATGGCAAATGTAGTCTGCAAACATCTAGGAAGGTGTCAATAGTAGTGATGATTACATTTGTAAAATGTAAAGTGATACAATCACATTAATGCATGCGTTTGTAGTCCACGTTTTACAGGAAGCTCAGCCACACATATGCTTGACTGTGTATCACACATTTCCTCTGATATTCTGGCAAGCTCTGTCATGTATCACCCATTACTTCCTATGCCTCACGGTGCATCATGGGAAATGCATACCACATAAAGTGGCATTCTTAGCACTGGATTGGTCTGTATTTTTACAAACCAGACCTATATTTTAATCATTGGGATACGTCTTTCAGCTCTTCGGTCACATCTTGCTAAAATAAAAAAGCTAAATTATTTTGTCTCATTCAGAGCCACAATGGCAATGTCCAGGCATTGTGAAATAGTGTAGACAATGTCTAGAGTTTGCTGTGTGAATCCCTCCCAGAGGGATCTAGATGAATTCATGCAATTGCATGCAACAAATGTGGGGGCATATAGACTTCAGTAAATAACTCCCAGAGACACCTATCTATTTACAAATGGTTACTGTAATAGTAAATTAAGTGATTAGAATAATATGTTCATATTTAGATTCCTGCAGATGCTCCATGGAAAGCACCCCATGCTTTGGAATGGGACAAGATTTCAATGGAAGAATTTATAGCCAAAGTTTGCTGGACAAGGTAAGAAATCACATTTAAACTAAAAATAAACATTAATATTCACCAAAGTGGGAATTGTGTGGAATTCAAGTGAAGAATTATAAGTGAATTAACATTTTTAGGATAAAATAGCCAAAATGAAAAGGTAGCTGATCTGCACAAATTTTCCAAAGTATTTTGGGCTAAAATGTGAAATTCACTTTTGATTTCCAGCAACTCCCACATTAAAGATTATCCCTGAAAGAAAACGAACTGCCTCTAAATCCATCAGGAATGTGCGTAGGCAAGTCAATGATTGTGAAGAAAAGTTTTTTCCTTGTTAAGCAGGTCATTTTAAGTTTATTTTTATGTGTTTTATCTGCTGATAAATTTCAGAAACACTCAAGGACTCCTCATAAAACATATAAACATTTTTAATTACCCCTTTTTTTTTAAATTATCTTACTTATCAAAAAAATTTCCTTCAAAAACCGTCAAAATCAAGACAGAAAACTTTTGATTAAAGGACCACTCTAGGCACCCAGACCACTTCAGCTTAATGAAGTGTTCTGGGTGCCAGGTCCTTCTAGGGTTAACCCATTTTTTTATAAACATAGCAGTTTCAGAGAAACTGCTATGTTTATGAATGGGTTAAGCCTTCCCCCTAATCCTCTAGTGGCTGTCTCATTGACAGCGCTAGAGGCGCTTGCGTTTCACTGTGAAAATCACAGTGAGAGCACGCAAGGTCCATAGGAAGCATTATGAATGCTTTCCTATCACTGAATGCGCGCGCAGCTCTTGCCGCCGAGCGCATTCAGCCCGGGCGGATCGGAGGAGGAGAGGAGGAGAGAGCTCCCACCCAGCGCTGGAAAAGGTAAGTTTTACCCCTTTCCCCTTCCAGAGCCGGGCGGGAGGGGGACCCTGAGGGTGGGGGCACCCTCAGGGCACTATAGTGCCAGGAAAACGAGTATGTTTTCCTGGCACTATAGTGGTCCTTTAAAGTTTGCATGTGTGACAGCAATGCATCATTCCCAAGCTCTGTTCAGTGAAGGTCTTTATAAAATCCATTGTTGCAATAGTTTCTAGTTGGTGTCATATCTGTATTGCTATTTCTGGTGTTAAAATTGTAACTTTTCAGTTCACCTTTATAATCATCTTTTTACCCTTCCTCCCTTTCTCAACCCCATGCACATATTTGTTGGTTTCATTCCGAGTCTTTTTAATTTTCTTGTACTCCATCCACATTCTCTTTCTTACTCTCTCTTATCTTCCTTTTATAATCTGCCTATTTACCAGCTCCTTTAGATATTAAAGGTCATTTTATCCTTTGCGGATTAAACCCATTTTTTAACATATGCTAATAGTCAGGATGATAAATGTTATTCAATAATTGTCACATTAAAGATGTTCTAGCTTTCACAAAGCATGGGTGTCTTCCCTATTTAAAAACGCCAGCAATCAGTACATCAACTCAGAAATGTTATTTCCCTAGGCGCCAGCTGCAGTAAGATAATAAACTAAATTACATTTTATAACCACTTACAAAGATAAGATACATCTTAACATATTATCGGAATAACCCTGAGACTGGCCAGTCAGTGTTCTCTGCTGAGTTGCCTATTGAAGATGTAGATCAGGAACATTCTGTAAATATCAAAGCCACTTGATTTATACACTGAACAAAACTATAAACGCAACACTTTTGTTTTTGCCATCATTTTTCATGAGCTGAACTCAAAGATCTAAGACTTTTTCTATGTACACAAAAGGCCTATTTCTCTCAAATATTGTTCACAAATCTGTCTAAATCTGTGTTAGTGAGCACTTCTCCTTTGCCGAGATAATCCATCCACCTCAAAGGTGTGGCATATCAAGATGCTGATTAGACAGCCTGATTATTGCACAGGTGTGCCTTAGGCTGGCCACAATAAAAGGCCACTCTAAAATGTGAAGTTTTATCACACATCACAATGCCACAGATGTGACAAGTTTTGAGGGTGCATGCAATTGGCATGCTGACTGCAGGAATGTCCACCAGAACTGTTGCCCGTGAATTGAATGCTCATTTCTCTACCATAAGCAGTCTCCAAAGGCATTTCACAGAATTTGACAGTACATCCAACCGGTCTCACAACCGCAGACCATGTGTAACCACACCAGCCCCTGTTGGTCTGATCCCATATTTGTATGGAATTCAAGATGGCTGGGCAGTTAGTTCTCAAGATGGGTCTCTGTGTTTTGGGGACCCATAGATAAAATTGGGGGAGGTCTGCACCCATCAGTAGTGACTCTATGTCCACCCAGCATCTACTCTCCGGGTGTGAGTGCCAATAGTGGTATATATGGGGTAAGCTCAGATCCCCTCTGTCCTTGGGCTGGTATAATAGGTTTTCGGGCTAGTTGAGGTTGCTTTTTCTGCCATATAAAGGAGTCTACAAATAATACAACAAGGTATGTGCACAATATAGAGGTGAGTGAAATAGGAAGCTCTAACACCTAAAAGTGGTATCCCCTACACCACGTAAAAACAAATATAATACATACAAAAGATGGAGATTTTAAGTAGTATTTCAACAGATATTCTGTAAAATAAAATTATACAACAATAGTGCAATACAGTATGTAAAATACTTAAAAAGTAAGATAAAAGAGTGATATCACTCACAAGCCTGGAGTTATACCCTCATATGACTTGGATAGTATGTGCCCTTGGACCATTTCAGGATGTCCAGATCCTTCTTCTCCAAGGTGATCAGTGCTTTTTTCTTTCCCTTTTCTCCTTCCCCCTCTTAACCGGCTCCAAAATATACAAATGCCAGGTCAGGGAGATTTTCTTTAAAAAACTGGTGTTTTATTGATCCGAATAAAGTATAAAAACAATCAAATTTGCCAGATGGGCTTCTGGGTAGGTTGTATAGTCTATTTACAGTGTCTAAAATGCGTTTCACCTTATCAAATATGCTTCCTCAGTTGATTGCAGCCCCAGAAAACACCTCTAGTAGCCATCTGAGGAGTGGCCAGTGAAGTTATCACTAGGCTGTAATGTAAACACAGAATTTTCTCTGAAAAGACAGTGTTTACAGCAAAAAGCCTGAAGGTAATGATTCTACTCACCAGAACAAATTCAATAAGCTGTAGTTGTTCTGGTGACTATAGTGTCCCTTTAATGGGAATGGAAGGGTAACGGGATTTGGTGATTGAAGGAGACAGCAGTCATGGAACTTCCAAATGTGGCTGGATAGAGTAGCTTGAATTGAAGCATCTAAAGCCTTAATGGTCTCGCTTTGGGGTTTAACTAAAAAGCATTCCAGGCTGTGGTTTCCATGGCTGTACTAAATTTCTAAACAGCGGAGAGAAGAAGTGGCAACAACTCGTAACACAGGGCTTGGAAGCAAATTACCAGGAATAAACTTGTGCTAATATGTATGATTAAGACCACTATAGCTCGGTTCAAAACAAATCAAGTGATATGTTTTAACCCTAACTCACCAGATAAACAAGAAAGAGGCCTAGCTTATCTGGTGAGTCGGCATGAAAAGTTATCGCTCCCATCAACGTGCCGGGGGAATCTTGATTCCACTGTGGTAGACGCGGCCTAGGGAGTACCTATTCTGTTATAAACACTATTGTTCTACATATTGTTTTTACCTTTTTTTCTTTATTTAAAAATAAATAAAAACAGGGCAGCATATCTTTACTACTTGTCCATACACATTGTTGTCATATTTCTTGTCACATTATTATTAACATGTACCTAACTCTGCACTGTGAAAGTACAGAATGTAAAAAAAAACATTATTATTATTATGTTTTTTATACACTTTGGTGCTTTAAAATTAAGTGGACACATTTGTTTAATCATTACGTATTAATATTCCAAATTCGCTAAGTCTAACGTGTGGATATCTATACTTATGTTTTGACAGCACAGCTAGACGGTTAGCAGAACTCTTTGTGAACTTAGTTGTAACTGCTGAGACACACCAGGTTTCTGCACTTTGGTTCCTGTGGTATGTAAAACTTTGCGGGGGAACAGTCAGAGTTTTCTCTACAGAAAATGGAGGGCAGGTATGCAACTTAATTTCTGTCTTCTGCCTTTTTATTCTAAATATGCATTAGGGTTCATTTACTAAGAAATTAAAACATTGGCGAGTGAAAGCTTCTTTTATGATTTGGAGTGTTTTTTTTGTCAGAAGCTTGATAATGAGTGTGTTTGGACAAGTCAGCGTTACTCAACATTCAAGTGCTTAATTATTCATTTATAAACAGTAACAAGTCAGTGCATACGTTTTAAATGGACTCTATATTGCATCCTGGCCACTTTATCTCAATGAATGCTCGTCTGCACTAGCCTACCAATGCACGCCTATGGGAAAGAATTGGAATGGCTGAGATTATCAAGATTGATGATCTCAGCCAAGGAGACAGAGTCATGGGATAAAAGGTTAAAAAAACACTGTAGCGTTAGGTATACATATCTTTATTCCTAATGCCTCTTAAATAGGTTCCCCCCCATAATGAGTAAAAGAAAATGAAATAAATTAAATGAAAACAAATGAATCATCCTTTTCCAGCACCAAGTCTCTCTCGGCACTGCCATGACCTCCTCCTTCAATGACATCCTCCAGGATGACGTGCCAATCCAATGCTCCTCATAGAGGAACATTGCGCACCTTAGGAGCATGCACGGCATTTGCCTGATGTGCCTAAGACTCTGCCATAGAGAATCATTGAATAAAGTGATTATCTATGGCCAACCATGACGGCACTGCGCATGTCTTCGAGGAATGTTATGTTACGATAAACCGGGAAGTCAGATTCCCAGCTCTCATACTCAGAGGGCTTGGAGGCTTGCATGGTGTTGTGCGTCTAAGCCCTCTAAATAGTTAACTAGGGGGCTTTGGGGGGTAGGTGTGAGAGGACATAACTACCTTCATGAATATAAAGTTGTAAAAGTGCATACAGCGTCCTTTACCCTTAGTAGAGGGCAGTCGCCTAAATGGTGACTAGGACACTATAGTTTTAGAAATATAGTATTACATTCATATTAAAGGCCAATCTAAGCAATATAAACCCTTCAGCTCAGTATACTGGTTTTACGGCCAAGATTTTATCGGTTCCATCCATTAATTGTTTTGTCAAAACATTTGGAAGAAATTTGCCAAAAACGTAGTGCCCCCTCCCAGGACAATTTCATAATATAGAATTTGCACTTCATATTCTCACTACCAATGTTTTCCAACCTGAAAGACAATAATTGATTGAGAATGGGTTAATCCAGTGGCCTTAACTCATTGCTGCCATCCGTGTAGCAGTTATGTTGCTTAGACTGCCCCTATAAATCAGTAGAAAAAAGGTGAAATAGGGACAGACCGGGAACATGCCTGTTTCAGTAGTGGTGATGCTATAAAGTCCAAAATGTATACAAAATACAGATTAAGGAACACAGCACACAAAAATACAGGTTAAAATTTTACAGGGCTACTTAAAATCACCTATCTCAGCAACTAATTTTGGAGGTTCAGCTCCACCATATGGTGAACATACATTTCATTATAGTGTTGCTGCTGAAATTGTCTTAATTTAAAGAACAAAATAAGAATTCAGTATATATTTTCAAATTTCAATAGCACCTATTTTAACACCTGTTTTTTAGATTAATTAATTCACACTGCTACACATGTATGAACAATTGCCAGAGTATGCAGCCATAACATACAATCATGTATACAAGATTTTAACTCTGCTGAGCTCCCCTGCAGCTGCACAAGCTGGTAGTGAGGTATCTATAGATTTCTCTGTACGACCCTGCACTGTCAATGCAGGCAGCACCTGTGGCTGAGAACAACTCTTTGTAGATGTTCCCTTCCATTGAAGGGGGCATTTACCGGACTTCCAGGGAAACTGCTGGACCACTAGGGAAAGAGTCTCAGCTAAGAAACAAACAAAATTTAAAAAAAAAACTATATGCAATGTGCGGAAAGGCCCCACAACTCACCTTGCCAATCATAGCCCCACTAGTGACCCTATCACACTCACCCCCTTCACTCACCTCACACACAGCTTCCCAGTAGGAAGGCTGAGCTAGGTAGCCCACTTACTATTACTTACTATAGCCCACTATAACGGATAGGCACACATACATACATACATACATACAGACACACACACACACATATTCACCCTGTCACACTTACCCCTTCACGGTCACTCTAACATACAGTCATCCTGTCACACTAACTCCCAATATATATGTGAGAGGATTGTAGACTATGTGGGGAAAAAGTCTATGTTAAACATTGAGAAATCTTATTTATTTACAACACTTTTCTTATATGTAACTTCATTAGTTGGTACATGGTGTTTTAGTCCAACCTATATGGTCACTTTTCATGAAATAATGTGGTATCTAGTCATAATGAAATGATGTATTGTCCCCCAGGACTCCATACTCAGCGTCTGGGTGTTTTTTTTTTTCTGTAAACCACTTGGTAGTGAAAAAGCACCATGCCAAACAACAGACAGATGCCCTGAAGCTGTCACAGCTATTGGAGTTTGCAGAGACAGTCCACTTCTACTAAGAAGAGTGCTGCTATTCTCCCAATCTCATCTGTCTCCTCAACAATAACAGAGGTGAACAGCAGAGAAAGGAGAGGGAGAACAATTAATTCTCCATCTCCTTTCTCTGCTGATTAAATTAATGAAATTGGCGAGTATGAGGCCAGGGACAGTGTAAACACTGTAACTGCTTTGTCTCATTAAAGTGGTTATAGTGTCCCATGGGACTATCCTTCCATTCCGTGTTAAACTGGTTTTAAAGGACCACTATAGGCACCCAGACCACTTCAGCTCAATGGGGGTGAGGGCACCCTCAGGGCACTACAGTGCCAGGAAAATGAGTTTGTTTTCCTGGCACTATAGTGGTCCTTTAATGCTTTAACGCTAAGTAAGTGTCCCCAGCAGACCATCCCCTCTGTGCAGGGCCGGATTAAGAACACAGTGGGCCTGGTGCTGACAATTATGATGGGCCTAATTACGGAATCTTATCGACCAAAAACACTAAAACAATCATACCTCCCAAGCGTCATGTATCTGATGGAGATGGTACTGGAGGGAAACTCATAGGATGCAGCTATAAGAAAACACATACCCTATGCTAATTTCTTTCTAATTTATGCTTTCATCTTTCAAGTAAATCCATAACCCCTAACAGCAGTGTCCAGTGAAGCTGGAAGTCAATGGGAAGGGTAAAAGGGTGGACCACTGGCGCGAATCACGTGACAAGACCTGCCAAAAGGGGTGAACATGCCCAAAAAGGGGGCATGTTTGTCCAAAGAATTGGAAGGTCGGCCTGGCATGAATGCACGTCAGGCTGCATGCCAATCCTGCACGCTGTCCAACTAAGGGCATACTATGCAGGCAGCACCTTACGCTTTACATAAAATCATCTAATGATGCGCTCACTCCATTCTTTCTAAGGACTGTCCCCTAGCACTCGCTGGTCCACTTGTCTCCTTGCCTTCTTACTAGCAGGCAGAAGTTCCTGGTATAGTCTGAGACAGAGAAAAGGTGTCTGTAGTGAGTGTAGAAGAAAGGGGACATGCCACAGTGTTAGAGAGACCAACGTCTGCATTACCTAAACTAACTTTAATGACAGCCAGTGCACACAAGTTTTGTTCCCATACATCCCTCTTAAGCTTCCAAACTTAAAGGGACACTATAGTCACCAGAACAACTACAGCTTATTGTATTTGTTCTGGTAAGTAGAATCATTCCATTCAGGCTTTTTGCAGTAAACACTGTCTTTTCAGAGAAAATAACTCCACTGGCCGCTCCTTAGATGGCTGCTAGAGGTGCTTCCTGGGGCAGTACTGCCTAGTGTGCAGCACTGCCATTCAGTGTCTCCACCCTCTGCATGCAGACACTGAACTTTCCTCATAGAGATGCATTGATTCAATTTATCTTTATGAGGAGATGCTGATTGGCCAGGGCTATGTTGGACTTGTGCTGGCTCTGCCCCTGATCTGCCTAGTTGACAGTCTCAGCCAGTCCTATGGGGAAGTATTGTAATTTGCTCAGACCACCACTTCTGAGCCAGCAGCTGCAGAATTGAATACAAGTAATATTTTACTATATTTAGGGAGGGAAGAAGGGGCCAGGGTGGTGGTTTTAACATAATAGGGTAAGAAATACATGATTGTGTTCCTGACACTATAGTGCTCCTTTAAGCAAGAGTATGTGAAGAGTAGTTAAGGTTGCCACCTTTCTTGGAAAAAAATACCAGCCTTAGTCATTTGTATAATTAATTAGTTATACATGTAAATCACAAGGAGTGACATCAGAGAAAATTCTGTAAAATCAACAACAAACTACTCACAGTTTGCTCCCAGTGTCTCCCTGTCTCCCAGTGTCTCAGTCTCACAAGTCACCCAGTGTCTCAGTGTCTCTATGTATCACAGTGTCAGTGTCCCCATGTCACCCAGTCCCCTAGTCTCCCAGTGTCTGTGTCCCCATTTCTCCCAGTGTCCCAATGTCTCAGTGTGTCCCCATGTCACTAGGATACTGGGGACACAGAGACATGGGGACACCGAGAGACCCGGGGACACAGAGACATGGGGACACTGAGACATTTAGGGAAACTGGGAGAAATGGGGACACTGAAACACTAGGGACACAGACACTGGGAGACATGGGGACACTGAAACATTTGGGGACACTAAGACACTAGGGACACAGACATGGGAACACAGACACTGGGAGACTAGGGGACACTGGATGGGAGACAGACACTTAGGGACACTGGGAGACATGTGGACACTGGGACATATAGGGACACTGGGAAACATGGGGACACCAGGCACACTGAGACACTAAGAACACAGACACTAGGAGACATGGAGACACTGAAACATTTGGGAACACTAAGACACAAGGGACCCAGACACTGGGAGACTAGGGGACACTGGGAGACTAGGGGACACTGGGAGACTAGGGGGCACTGGCTGGGAGACAGATACTTGGGGAGACATGGGGACAGTTGTGGACATAGACATGGGGACATTGGGACACATGGGGACACTAGGCACACTGAGAGACATGGGACACAGACACTGGGAGACTTGTGGACACTGAGACACTAGGGACACTGGCTGGGGGACATAGTGTCTCCATGTCCCAATGTCTACCAATGTCCCTATGTCTCACAGCATCCCCATGTGTCTCAGCATCCCCATGTGTCCCCTAGGGTCTCAGTGTCCCCATGTTTTCCAGTGTCCCCAAGTGTATGTGTCCCCAGGTCTCACAGTGTCTGTGTCCCCATGTGTCCTAGTGTCTCAGTGTCCCCTAGTGTCTGTGTCCCCTAGTGTCTCAGTGTCCCCATGTTTTGCAGTGTCCCCAAGTGTCTTAGTGTTCCCAAGTCTCCCAGTGTCTGTGTCCTAGTGTCCCAGTGTCCCCTAGTGTATGTGTCATCTTGTGTCCCCTAGTGTCTCAGTGTCCCCATGTGTCCCCTAGTGTCTCAGTGTCCCCATGTGTCCCTGCTGCCTTTCCCCCCCATCCCTCACTTACGTGAGCTGTACAGCTGCTGTCTGGACTCTCTGTGCTGTGTAGCTGCTCCCCCACGGATCAGTGAGTAGTAGAGAGTAACTTCCTATCCCTGCCTCTCTCCACACACAGTGACCCCTACTGGCCGGTGCTGGTATTGCAGAGTAATTTCCATTTATTCTGAGAAAATTACCTGCATTTGTATTGCCGGTATTACTGCAATACCGGCACGGCCAGGCAGCCTCAAATACCATCTGTGCCATTAAAATACCATTCAGGTGGCAAACCTATTCCATGGGCCTGGGCCTGGAACTGCAGCTCCATCAGCCCCTATGTTAATCCGGCCCTGCCTCTGTGCCGCTCAGGGTACTAATGAATAACTAGCCTTAGCAACAGTGGGCAACAATGATCAGCTGAGAGTCACGCATTGCTGGTATGAATTTTCATGATTAAAGAAGTGTGTATTATCTGACTTAGCCATATCTCCAGTGAGGGGCTGGTCTGCGGGTGGCCAGAAATTCTCATTTAGTATTAAACTGCTCAAAAATGGTTTAACATGGAATGGATAGTGCCAATGAGTTGTAATGGTTATATGTGAGGTCCTAGCTATGTATGTGTATTTGTGATTCCAGGGGATTTAGAAAAGCATGCTCAAGGTATTTTTGTTTCAAAAGATTGATTTGTATTTGGTTGTACAGAACTGACATTTTCCTCAGCTAAAGAAATAAAGCACACATAATTTTGGAACAGCTTACCAAATTTTGCAACAATAAATATTTGCATTTAACCTTTAACCAGTGCTGTGTTTTTAAGTTAGTTATATCTGTAAGTCAGTGCTTGAACCTTGGACAGAAATCAATTAATTGTGAAAGGGCACAAACAATTTTCATGTTGGCTGAAAGAAACCTTTGCCAGAATAAACTCTTTTAGAATGTTATCAGAACACTCCCACTTCTGTTTATTCAATCGGGAAGCTGTAGTAAGATGACTTTGCACTTACTGTATAATCAAAGATTGAACTATTTATTGAAAAGTTCATGCAACCTGAAAAGTGATACCCTCTAGAATGTTTACTGGTTTGATAACTTAATTCACATATTTAATCAGTACAGCAAATTAAAATATTTTCTGTATGTTGGGATTATTTTACACTGCTGGGCAAAGCGTTCCATGCACCTCACTTTTGGACCGAACGTTCGGGGAGAGCCTTTCAGTAATACACAGACGTGTTTCAAACGTGTTTTTTTTTCACGCTACCAGTGTATTAAGAGCAAAAGTAACATGACAAGATTACATCGGCTAAACAGATATTGCTTATTCAGCAACCAGCAACATAACCAGAGGTTAAAAGGTTATTTCTTTGATGATCTGGAACAGGTTTTACTTTTAAGCTGACATTTAACAATTGTTATTTCTAATAATATAGTCTTGTCCATTTACTGTAGTCACGTACTTCACTTTGAACCCTTTCAATGTCTCCATTAAATATTGTAAATGACAATTTTAATTTCAGGAGAGAAAATTTGTAGGTGGATCTGGACAGATAAGTGAGAAGATGATGGAACGTCTGCAGGGTCGAGTGAAGCTAGAAAGCCCAGTAGTAAGAATTGACCAATCAGGAGATAATGTCATCGTGGAAACGTTAAACCATGATATCTACCAGGTACATAAATAATTCAAATTTGGCGCACTACTGTGTTTTTCAGTTACTATATCGGGTTCCCAGTAAGTTAATGGAAACTTGTCGAATGAAGGACTACTTGCATAAATGCTTGCATGTTTTTAAGCCCATACCTGTACTGCACAGGTATCCTCATTCCTTCATACCTGGAGGACCTTACATGCATGCACACACTATCAATGCATAATGCATACTTTAAGCACAGCAATATTTTTATATGAAGTTTATATGATGTCGTTTAACATGTGGTTAATAGTTTCTGTGGCTGTGTGCTTTATAAGCTCAGGGCGCCCAAAGCTTTGCAAATTTAAAAAAAAAAGTTATAGCTCTTTGTTCGTCTTAAATCGACATAGTTTTCTCCACGGTACCTATGAGTAGTGTTATTGAGTTAAGGTCCTCGTTTATTGCAGAGCACTCATAAGCAGTCGTCTGTCTGTGACATTAGAAAAGACCTGCAAGGCTATAACGCATATAAATCATTCTTAGCACATGTGTGTCAAGAAGAAGCATGCCTAGGTGACAAAAAGCACAGGGGCTTCAGTCCAAGAATTGATTTCATGGCTTCTCCCGCACATAGCAAGTTAAAGGAGCACTGAAGCATTAGGAATTCAAATCTGACCCTCACCATTTTGCAAAAAAAAAAAAAAGAGAGGAAAAATTTGAAACAAACTACTCATCTTTTGTCCAGCCTGAGCCTCCTTTGGCACTGCTGTTTGACAAGCTAATCCAATGTTCCTCATAGAGGAGCAATTGTGAACATAGCCACGTGTGCGACACTCACCTCGATGCACCTACCTCTATAGAGAATCGTTGTATTCAGTGATCATCTATGGCTGAGCGTGACAGCACTGTGCATTCATGTGTTATGGTATGAGAGATGGCAAGTGAGATCCTGGCTCTCTTACGCATAGGGTTTGGATGCATGGTTTGAAGCCACTCTTCCAAACCTTCTACCTAGTTTAATATTGGGTTTTGGAGTGTAGGATTGAGGAACAGGACTGCAGGCACTATAACATCTCCAATAAGATGACACCTCCAAACCCCTACATATACCACAACCTTTATGCAAGTCTAATAGGCTACGTGAATCACATTATGTCACTAAACCTTTGTATGAATTCACATTATTAACTAAACATATATTTATAGACTCCACAACTGCTGTATTAACCTTACACTTGCAGCATTAACCCTGTACTTGCACCCACTGCATTAAACACTGCAATCACAGCAATAACCTCACACTGTGCTTTAAAATTAACTCCCAATATGGAGTATTGAAGTTGCACTGCCACAATTAATAACGTCTATGAAATTGGTGCTATTTCACTCCCTATTATTAAAGGGAACTTATGGCCAAGAATAAAACAATTCCTAAATAAAAACTGAGGCTTTTCAGGACCTCAGTTAGGGCCTAGTCCCAGCCTAGCACAGCAATGCCCCTGTGCTGACCACCGGATGTGGGTGAACTACAGCTCCCATAATTATATACCAGCCAAAGGCTTATAGAAGAATTGTTTCATACCATATTAAGGGGGTTAACACCCTACACCAAGCAGAGACATGAAGCAGAAGTATGGAAGTATTTTTATACAAGATAATGATGTACTCCCTGGTAACGTAACAAGATTAACTCAGATAGCAAAACTTTTTATTACATGGCTGCTGCTTGATCAATAAAGCAAGCAGACATGTTCTAGATGCTTAGTTGTAACCTCATTAGACAGTAAAATGAGTAAGAAATGTAAACCCTAGTGAGCAGGCTTGTGGCTGGGTTGCTGATGCATTACACTGTAACTCCATCATCTCAGAGAAGTCTGACTGCCTGGGATTTTATAAGCTACCATTTTAGAGTTTACTCTAATGAGAATGGTTTAATAAACAAAAATGATATAATGCATCTTACTGACAACAGCATGTCAGCTATCACACATGATTGCAAGCTGGTTCCACACATCACTAGATCTTATAACACCTTTGGGATCAAGTGAAATTGGAATGTTTCAGCATCAATGTGGGTTTGAAAATATTAAAAAAATAACAGACTTTATTTAACATGGTCCAAAGCCATGCAAAACATTTCCACAATCTTGTTGAGTAAATGACACGCATTGTTTGAGCTTCTTTGCAGGAAAAAAAGACTCATCCACCAGATGCCAACAAATTGGCATATGAGTGTGTAGTGTTTATATATTCATTATTTTGGTTAATAGTACAGGGAATTAGCCCTTATAGTGCCGTTAATGTGTGCAATAATATATTAATACCATTTATTTGCATTATATGATATTGACCACCTCTAGTATCAAATATCCTGGCTGTTCCAACTTATTTTTAAAGAAGCTTGTATATGTTTTTCTAATTTAAATTTAGGGCAAATATGTTATCAGTGCCATACCACCAGTTCTAACTACAAAGATCCACTTTAAGCCAGAGCTCCCTGCTGTTAGAAACCAGCTCATTCAGCGTCTTCCAATGGGGTCTGTTATTAAATGTATGGTGTACTACAAGGAAGCCTTCTGGAGGAAAAAGGGTAAGTAGCCATCCTACTTTTTAATTCCTCTATTTTACCGGCTAACTCTTCAGGAAAATTTAATTCGCTGTCGCTGATGACAAAGGATACAGGCTGCTGACTCAGCGTTATACACACAAGGTTAATGTGCCGTTGACTGAATGCTATAGACCTGTTCCAGCTGTTCTTTGACAATGAGCCCCCTTCAAGTCAACATTCACAAGTTCTTCATTTTTCTTATATCTAATTTTGGAATGATAATTTCCAGGTGGTTAGTTTAGCAAATAAATAACTTTTGAATATTTTGAGTTGTTTCAAATTGCACATTGGCTTATCATGTAGATTGCTTTTCAACAAGTTTGATTTTTAAACAAACATACCATTTTTAAGGGTACTGTGCATGTATGATGATTCAAGATGAAGGTATACCAATTGGATTCACACTGGATGACACCAAACCTGATGGATCAAAGCCAGCCATCATAGGGTAAGGATAACTAATACTGAAGATAGGTTTTATACATTGTGTGCATTCTTCGTACAAATGGCGTTGAACCAAATTGCAATTAATAACACTTATTGCATGTACTAGAGATGTCCTAATATTCGTCCTTATAAATTATTGTTACTATCACTGGTATTTATAAAGTGTCAATTAATCCTGTGCTGCTCTTCAATTGGGTAAAAGTATAACATAAACAGGCCAATACCAAAGGTAAAAAGTACCCTGTCTGTAACCTGAGATCTAGACATTAAAGCTCTTTTATAAAAAATACTTAGCTAGATGGCCCATGAGACTGCAATCTAAAGCTTAAAATGTGGCACTGAAACAAAGTAACAAGGAATTTGAAGGTGATAGCCAGAGAGAATTAAAAGATAATTGCAAAAAATTTTGAAATACAAAGTGAATTAGGAAGTAATTGAGTGAGATATCATAGCTGGAGTGGCATTCTATAAAGTTGGGTGGGCGGAAGTAGGAGAGAGTGGGTGTGATTTGTGAAAATGAAATGTGTCTATATTTGCCAAGTCCTTTACCATTTGATTAAAAAATATCTGCACAATAAATAAATACACAATACCGTTAGCATGGTCGATAAGAGTATAGCCAGGTTATTAACAGCAGTACAGTTAATGGGTCACCAGCTTAATGTAGTTGTTTTGGTGAGTATAGTCAGTCCCTACAGGCATTTTAATGTAAACACTGGCTTATCAGACAAAAGTGTTTACATTGCTCCTTAGGGACATCTCCAGTGGAAGTTAGTCAGATGGCCACTAGAGGTGCTTCCTGTGTCAGTGCACTGGCATTTAGCGTCCCCATTCTCTGAAAGTTTGCTAGATAAGGTGACATTTTTTTTTTTTTTTTTATATAATGACCTTTTGGGTGGTTTAGGGGATGGGAGTCCTCTGAAAGTTTACTGGTTGAGATGAAAATTAAATTTCTCATTGTATTTCATATATATATATTTATTTTTTTCTGTTGGGTGGTTTGGTGAAGGTCTGCAAATTTGCTGAATGAAGTGAACATTGTATATTTAAAAATATGTAGATTAACATTTGTGTAAAATATATTTATATTTTTAAATTGTAGTTTGAAAAAAAACAATAATTTAATCTTTATTTGCATTTTCATTGTTTTTCTATAGATTCATTCTCTCGAGAAAAGCAACTGCATTGGCGAATCTAAGCAAAGAAGAGAGGTACTTTTAATTATTTATTGGAACATGTGGCATTATTTGTGAGAGTATTGATTTTATGAACTGTTTTTTGTCAGGAATGCATTTGTAAAGGTTTGCACATAAAGTCCTTGGGGCTGTATTCAAAGGTTTTTAAATATCCAATATTAAGAAGATCTGTGTTAAGCAATGTCTATAAGTTCAGTGAAATGTAAAAGGAATTAAGTAGCTAAAACATAAGTGTGAGAAGGCATTGTTTGTTAGAAAAGAAGCTAACTGTGTCTGTTGGGTCTTCATGTTAACAAATGCGATTATCAGAGGAACTTCTGATTTTGATTCTGAGGACATTTCTTGTTTTTTAAAACCATCTTCAAACTAGACATTCCACCAGCCACACACTAATCTACTGTTGTAACCCCTTAAGGACACATGACATGTGTGACATGTCATGATTCCATTTTATTCCAGAAGTTTGGTCCTTAAAGGGTTAATACAATAATTAGGCTTTGCCTAGTGACTGATTAGTTACCCAGTACTTGCTTCACCTATGTATGTATTTATATATATATACATATGCACCCAGTATTTGCTCTTAGTAACAAAGCGATATATTGACATTTCTAATGAAAATGTTTGGACATAGCAAAAATGACTACTATATCTGACAATTAAAATGGCAATTGGTTGTTGTACTGATATTATGCAGAAATGTCTTAATATATATGTAAATTAGACACATATAAACACAAAAATATAAAAACTGTAAACTATGTATGTCCAAGACATGGCACAGATGTTTCCAAATTAAATACTGAAAGTTGGTGCACACATTTTTTTATGGTTATTTCAAAGCTAAGTGACACTTAATAAAATGTAATTTAATTAAATTTATTCTAGAAGCATCAGCAAGAATAGTTCTCTTGTGTGGTCTTGTAAGGAGATTTGGCATGATATATGAGCACGTTTATCATTAAAACAATTAAAAACAGATTTTTGTAGACAATTTCACGAGTATAATGAACACCTCTAATAGTTATTGCTATAGATTATAAAAATAAAATTACTATCTGTGTAAGATATGGTCTTAGTGTGCCCCCAGACTGGGTGGGAAGGGTAACTGTTACTTAATACAATATTGATGACAATACTGCGTGCCTGTATCTCACCTGGCTTTAAATTACCAAACTTTCACTCCTCCTTCAGTATCCTAGTACAGACGGAAATTCTAACAGTACAGTTCATGACCTAAGAACTTTACTCACTACTGTATATCCCCTGGCTCATTGGTGACCAAAAAGTGGATCCCCAGATGTTGTAGAACTACAACTCTCATGATGCTTTGCATACCTTTGGAATGCCTTTAGAATGGCAAAGCATCATTGAAGCTGTAGTTTTAAAAAAAAAAATCGGGGGATCTACCTTTTGAGTACCCTTGCCCTAACTCAATGGGTACACACCTATATTTTACAAGGTGCTTACCTGTGCTTTGATGCCCCCATGTGACAAAAGTCTCTAATGACTGTGCATCTAGAATTACTTCCCATCAGGAAATGCTGAAAGAGAAGATTGAAGAACCCGTTACACTGATAAACTGTGATACTAAATTGTAGAGTAAATTAATAAATTAATACGTTATATCTTAACTTACTCTGACCACATCTGATTTACAGCCCATGATGCTTACACTGCACCAGGATAGCAATTAATTATTGACATATTAAAAGTTTTGTTTTGTGTGTTTTCTGATGTATTTAGATACCAAAATACCAACCAGCACAAGCAATAGAATTGCTGATGCCAAGTTGTGTTAATCCAATGACAGACATTGAGCCTAAAGCCTGAAATTATTTGCAAATCGCTAATGTTATAATCTACAGGCAGAATGGAGACAGGGTCAGGCAAAGAGCTATACAAAGAACAGTTTAGTTTGCTAAGATTGTCCCTTTAACTGAGCTAACTTAGAGTGGCAGTGAATTACATTATTGTTTAAAAATAGCAAAGCATAGGGTCCAACTAGAATTCACGGGTACCATGATTTTGTATGACATATATTTTGACATTAAGTAAACCATGCATACCATTTGTTTGTACGTTTCATATTCCAACTCTGTTCCTTTTTTGTAAATGTGTGCTTATCTTATGAAATGTAGAAATGGTAATGTATAACTAATGTTTGTTTAGGAAAAGAAAAATATGTGAGGGATACGCAAAAGTAATGGGCACTGAAGAAGCATTACATGTAAGTTATTACTTTATATATATTTTTATTTTTTCAAAATTTCACAATTTACATAGTGCAATCAATTCCTCTATTGCAACATTTACATTTCTGATATGTTTCCATATATAAACAACATTTCCATTGTACAACGAATTTAAATATTCACATCTATAGTTCACATAGATTGCAAAAAGAGGTGGATAAAAATGCCTAAGACATTACATTCACACATACATACAATCCCGTGGAACCAAACCTACACTATCCACTTTTCCCGTCCTTCACATAAGGTACGTTGTTACTAAAGTTCCTCGAGAGTCAATCTCACATTCGGGGCGGCTCATATCCTAAGAATTATAAGTTCTAATAGTTAGTAATAAAGTTATCAACCATTATTTCCCATTTACTGTATTTCTTCAAACCTACAGAGTTGCCTAAAATTAATCCCTTTTCCATCTTACATTGATATATTACCTGTATTTTGATTTCACTCCACTGTATTTCTTTTTTACTTTTCCAGTTTCTAGCCACCGCTAACTTTACTGCCATTAAAATATGAATTATCAACATTTGTTTCTCAGGGGACATAGAAGGCCATCCCAGATGTAACAAAAAACTTTGTGGTGTAAAGGGTATATTTAGCTGACATGAGTTATAAATCTGCTTATATACCTCCTTCCATATTTTACTTAAAACTGTACAATGCCACCAAATGTGGAGATAATCTCCTTTCGCATCTTCACATCGCCAACAAAAAGAACTCTGATCTAGATACATTTTAGCCAATTTTTCTGGGACCATATACCATCTATTTAGAAGTTTATAAAAATTCTCTACTATATTCAAGCAGTGTACCGATTTATTAACTTTCTCTATCGCATTTATCATATCTTGTTCAGAAATTACTATTTGTAAATCTTTTTCCCACTTACTCTTAGATTTCCAAAGAGGGGCCTTCTGGGATAGCTTTAAGAATTCATAACATCTAGAAATATGACCTTTAGTTCTATATGTTTCCATAATCTTCTTAATGTTACTTATATTTTTATTAAGCTGAATATCCAAGAATTTCGTCAAATAAAACTTAACTCTCAAATATGTAAAAACCTCCTTACTTTCAATCCCGAATTCTACCTGTAGCTGGCTAAATGACTTAAGATCCTTTGCGTCTATAATTTGTTGAATGTGTGTAATACCTTTTTGTATCCAACCTCTAATATTAATATCATCAATATTATTATGAATCACCTCCATGGGTAGGAAAGGGAATATTCTATATTCTATTTTATAATTTTTCTTAAATTTATACCAGAATCTCCATATACTATCTATAATTGTCGAATTTTCTGGATGAGCCAAATTATTTTTTTCTAAATTCCTCCTTGTTGTCCAAAACAGGGAGGATAGGCTGCTTGTCTCTACTAGTGATTGCTCTATATGATGCCAAGATTGATCTTTTTGATCTATACTTAATGTATTAACAGTATGGGCCAACATACATGCGTCATGATATTCAATTATATTTGGGGCAGCAAGACCTCCCTCTTTTCTTTTCTTAGATATTAACTGTAAACTTATTCTTGGTTTTTTACCTTTCCAAATAAATTTAGAAAAAGCTGACTGTATCATTTTTAACCATGGATTGGGAACTTGTATAGGTATCATTCTAAAGAGATAATTTAGTATTTTTTATAAGAGGAAGAAAATTAACTTCAATAACTCTATTTATGTCTATTTATGTCTCTTGTTATTTTTATGCCAAGGAATGAGATATATTCCTTAACCCAGACAAAATCATAGGATATTTTAATAAAATCCTTATCTTTCCTGGATAAATTAGTTGTCATTATTGTGGTCTTGTTAATATTTAATTTATAATTTGAGAATACACTATAATGATCTAGTATTCTTATCAATTCCGGCAGTGATGATCTAGGATTCTGCATCATAAGCATGACATCATCCGCATATAGATTAATCTTATGTTCTAAATTATTAAGCCAAAACCCCTCAATCTTTCCGTTTTGTCTTATATCTTCTGCAAGAGGCTCAATAGTTAAAACATAAAGTAACGGGGAAAGAGGACATCCTTGCCTGGTTCCGTTTTTAATAGTAAACCAATCTGCCTCTATCCCAGGGCCAATGGTCCTTGCCGAAGGAACTGCGTATAGTGCCATAATGGCATCATAAACTGTTCCTACTATGCCATATGATTTCAATGTGTTTCCCAGAAAGTCCCATCTGACCCTGTCAAATGCTTTCTCAGCATCTAATGACAGGGTCAGAAGGGGAGCTCTTTTCCTATTCGCAGCATCATGTACATCAATTATTCTTCTTAATCCGTCTGATGCTACTCTGCCGTATACAAATCCAGCTTGATCCTGATGTATTAAAGTCGGAATACATGTTTTTAATCGATCTGCAATGATTGAGGCGTAAATCTTTACATCCCCATTTAAAAGCGATATTGGACGGTAATTCACCAATTTTGCTGGATCCTTATCCGGCTTCAAAATAGGAACGATATTCGCTTGAAGCATCTCCCTAGGAAACACACAATTTTCCACTATTATATTAAATATCCTAGCGAGACGAGTCGAAAGGGTATCTTTAAATATTTTATAAAATTTATTTGAATAACCATCTGGACCAGGGGCTTTATTTATCTGTAACTTGTTTATAGCTACTATAACTTCATCTGGGGTTATTGGTTTATTTATCTCGTTAAGTTGTTCCCTAGTTATTTTTGGAATTTTTTTGTTTTTAAAATACTCTGAAGATGGGGGTTGTTGTCCCACTGATTCTAAGTTATATAATCGACTATAATAGTCATTAAAAGCTGACCCAATTTTTTTCGGACTTAATAACGTTTCTTTTCCTACCTCAATTTTATGAATCCTCCTCATTTGTTTTTTGTTTTTCAATTTATTTGTAAGCAGCCTATCCGCCCTGTTACTCTTATAATACCAATTAATCTTTATGGGTTGGAGATTTCTCTTTTTCTCCTCAATTAATAATTCATTTATTTGATTCTGCAATAATAGCATATTTATACTTTTCTCCTGAGTTGGTAAAATTTTATTTTCATTCGATAGGTTATAGTAATCTACATATAAATCCTTCAGGGGTCTCTCCTTTTTTTTTTTATCGATTGTACCTAACTTAATTAAATAGCCTCTTATGACGCATTTATATGTGTTCCAGACCATCGGCAGTGACACTTCTCCCCCCTCATTTTCCTGAAAGAAGCTATATGTCATCTCCTCTATATATTCTCTATTTTCCTTACTGGAAAGAATATTATCATTTAATCTCCAATGGGTACGTCTTGCACTATTATCCACTATGTCCAACTCCAAGATTATGGCATTATGATCGGACCAAGTTACCTCATCTATAAGAACTTTTTTAGTACTATTAATAAATCCAACATTACCCAAAAATAAATCAATTCTTGAGTATGAGAAATATGCTCTGGAGAAGCATGTAAAATCCCTCTCCAGTGGATGAAGCACTCGCCATATATCCATAAATCCATATTTCTTAATTATCCTTTGAAATTGTACAGCTTTTGCGGTTACACCTTTAATTGACCCCTCAGGATTTAAGGTTTTCCTATCCATATTTACATCTAGGAGCCGATTGAAGTCACCCGCCAAAAGTAATTTACCCTGTTTTATTTTATCTACTTTATCAAAAAGGTTATAGAAATATTTATTAGAGGGATTATTAGGCGCGTACACATTTACTAACGTTTAAATTTCTGATTGGATTTTAATTATCACTATAATAAATCTAGCTTCTTCATCTGATTCTTGATATATGATTTTAGCATCTAAGTCCTCACTTATCATAATGACTACTCCTCTTTTCCTCTGATTCTCTAGTGTGGCAGATATTACTGTTGAGAAACTTTGTGGAATGAATCTTAACTTATCATCTCTTTTCCAGTGTGTCTCCTGTAAAAAGACGATATGAGCTTTTTCTTTCTTAATATAATCGAACAGAATTGCTCGTTTACTAGGGGAGTTTAAACCCTGAACATTTAACGATATAACCTTAACCATTTCTCTTTTTTAATCTCTTCTTGGGATTCTTCCAAGTCTGATAACCATCACCTTTGTACTTATTAAACTTATTTCTGAACTTCTTTCTATTCTGAGGATGAGCCCCCTTCACAGTTACCACTTTCATACCAAACATACCCCATCCTCTCATATACAAGAGGCAGTCATTCAACAAACCCTGAGTATTAACCTCTGGGTATAGATCCAAAAGGGAAAAATCCCCTAAATGGAGTCTAGTCCTCATATAGAAAATTACTAAATGAGGAAAAATTAAAAGCTGAGCTAGGAACGTCCCTTAGTTTTACCTATTATCTTCGCCTACTCCCATAACACATTACCTCCCCCCACCAAGCGTTTATTACAAAGCTTCTCTACATCCTCATTTTAGACTCTTCTGTTTATATTAAAGAATCAATCCAGTTCTCTCCTCTTCTAATTGTTTACAAATCCCTACCTACTTTTCCCATACTTCTCTCTTAAGACTATTTGTGAAAATATTACTTCCTTACTAACAACATTTCCATTTTTATTTTCCAAGTGTATATAACTATTTCCCAAGTGCAATTATTTTATCTTTCTATAGTCTCAACTAAATTTCCGTGTTTCAATAATTTTAAAAATATCCTAAAGTTATATTCTATAACTTATACTACTCTAAATGTTTTCCCTTATAATAAACTTACTTCACCATCCCACATATTAATTTCATCAGTGCTTAATCATAAAACCCTGAAGTGATACATATTCCTTTAACAGAACTATTAAACCTTTCCCAATAAGGTCTAGTAGGGGTTAAATCTAGATCAATCAGAGAGCTGAATCTTACTTATTCAAGTTATTACCATAATTAAACCAAATTTTCCAACCACTTTGTGACCTTATCAAGTGAGTCAAATATGTATATAGTCCCATCCTTAGTAACTATGAGTTTAGTTGGAAATCCCCATCGATATTTTAGATCTTTTTCCCTCAGACGCAGGGTAGCTGGAATAAATTGTTTTCTCGCTTGCCTTGTTTGAAAGGACAAATCTGGGAAAACTTTTATATCTTTAAATTTGCCTTGATCTCTTTCCATTTGTCTTGCTGTTTTTAAAATCTTTTCTCTAAATGAATAAGAATGGCAGGCGATAATTATATCTCTTGGAAGATCGTCTGGAAGTGTTCTTGGTTTGTTTAACCGATGAGATCTTTCAAGAAAGTCCCTCTTATCATCGATGTTGATTTTGAGAGCTTCGAAAAATTCCGCAAGAAAATTTGCCAAATTGCCCTGCGAAATAGATTCTGGTATGTTTCTTATTCTTAAATTATTTTTTCTTCCTCTATCTTCTATGTTAGTTAATCTCTCCTCCAATTCATTAATCTTCGTTTGTTGTTTTTCTATAGATTCTTTTTGCTTCTGTAGGAGGAATTCCAGATTTTCTATTTTCTGTTCGTTTATTTTAACTTTTTGTCCAACGGATATTATTTCCTGCTTTAACTTTACGAAGTTCCCCTGCATTTCCAACTTAATTTGATCCAATTGTTGATCTAAACATTGTTTTAAATATGCTTGAGTGATCATTAGTTCCTCTGAAGATTCTTGTGGTTCTACCTCCTTTAAATCTCCTGTGAGCTTACTTAAAGGCATTTTGTTTGGCGTGGAAATCAAAGAGGATTCCGAAATGCTTTTGTCTACTGGAGCATTAAAAAAATTTGAAAGTCTCTTTTCCTGTTTTTCTTTTTTTTCCCGGTCTTTTTTTGAAAGAGCCTTCAAGTCTTGTTTCTGATCCGCTGTTTTCCTTGTTGTCATTCTATTTTTTATTTATTTATTTATTTATTTATTTATTTTCTTTATTTATTTGTTTTTCCCAATTTAACAAAAAAGTTCAGCTTTCCTTTAATTATAGTAGTTCAGTTTTAGATGTTGTGATTCCAATTCCAATTATTAAGCGTGCTGCACCCTTTCGTACTTAATTAATTCAGCAATATGGCATCCACTCAAGTTCTTAACAATTCAATAGTATACAGCTCAAACAAGTTCTTAGTATGTCAATATGGCTCAGAACTTAATTGCACATTTACATCTGGTGCTCGCCTCTACTTAAAGAATAGAGTTCAACTCTTTCACTTTAAATACCAGTCTCATGTAACTCTGATACTTCCTCTATTTCAAATAGGAGTATGAAATTCCACTCAGTCTCTTTATATGCCAGTCACCTTAGCAAGCGTCTTCTTAGATCTAAGCTCGCATCCACTGCATTATAAATTACCCATGCAGTTTAATTCAGTTTAATTGGCAATGTTACTTCCTTATATCGCCTTATGTAACTCATTATTTCGGCAATATTCAATATGTTATTTGCTCGAGTTTTTTTTTTTTTCTTTTTTTTTTCAACTATAAGTGTATCTTATCAACTCTTATTAATTCAGTGAGACTGAATCTCATTACACGCTTAAGTTTTGTGCTCAGCTCTGCTCCAGTATAAAAAATTCCACTCTGCCTTTTATTTACCAAACACTTTAAAAATCAGCTTCTTAGATTCAGGCACACTCCAACAACGATTGTTATTAAGTTATTACTTAAATTAACATGAAAGTATAAAAATATTTTGAAGATTTTGACATTTTCAATGCACTTTACATTTTCATACCAACCAAGTGTCTCTCTTAAGAATGTAGAGTGTGTATTTGGAACCCAAATCCTACTGGTCCTCTTTTCTACCCTGTGTCTCAGGACTCAACACAAATGAAAATCATAATAAAAAAATCTTTTCTCATGAAACATTACAAAGTGCAATTCATCCGATCGTGTGTGATCGTTCGAATTCCCGAACTCCAAGCTGAAATGTAGCTGATTCACGAAACAAACAAAACTCAATGTCCGAGAATGTTTTTTTAATCGTGATTCTGAATTCTACCCATGGTGCTAAAAAAAGAGATTGTTGGTGGCTAGTGAGCAGTCACTACATGTTGATCTTATTTACAGATTAAATGAGAAAAAGTAACCAAGAGTGGGGAAAAGAGAAGAAACAATAAAAAAAACATAAATATATAGTAATTGATTTCTCATACTCTCCTCTTTTTCCCATTATTGGTTACTTTTTCTTACTTGATCTGTAAACCAAATGGCGGGAAAATTTGTTAAATAAACTTTGCTTAGCTAAACCACCATATGGCTGAAATTAGGCCTGACAGAGACATCATTAGAGTGAACATCTTATTGCAGGCAGATTACTTGGATTTGATGAATATTATATGCCTGTTCCAACCAACAGAGACCAATTTTTGGATCCCAAATTAGTGGTTAAGAAACACACATAGACAGTATTCTGTAAATATTCAGGGATCTATAAAATTCTCAAGCGGCAGTTAATCCTCACTTTTCACCTATAATTTCATGTTTAGCTAGAGAAGGAAATATTTTTCGAGCTATTCAACCAGTTGAATGAATGAGAGCATTCCACTCTTGTATATGTTGCTATAGTTTATAAAAGTTGGGAATCCTTTGCAAATGAATTCATTTTATGTGCTTGGAAGGATAATTTTAAAATCTAGCATTTTATGAAATATTTTACAGCTCAAAAGAAATTCATTATTTACATTTATCGACATTACATGAGTCTCTATGGTTATACGTAGACTTGTGGTTTTGGTTTAAAACAACTCGCAAACTTTTCAGTGATCAGAGATTCATCCAAATTCTGCAACTCTGAAATGCTATGTGGGCAGATCACAATTTTTTTTAAATGGAAATGGTCAAGCCATGTAGTTTCTTGATTAGGAGCTACTTCAGTGGTGCCAAAATAAAAGATGATTGATAAAAAAAAATGATAAATGTTTAGGGGACAGCCACTAAATGTTAAATTAATTTGTAGTGTGTGAAGTGACCAATAAAGGTAAAAAATGAATAGCAGTAAAAAAATCTATATTTATATATTATATATGTAATGAATATATAGTTGATGTGGAATCAATTAATAAATTGATTATCTTGCGTATCTGCCCCCAGCCAAATTAAGAAGTAATGCGTGCACGCTCCTAAAGTAATTCACACCAGACACAGGTTTCGGGTTAATGAAAAACTTGAGGAATGTTTATTCTGAGTGGACGGCATGTCCCTTATAAAGCAAAATTACATCATATGCATTGTCAGAGATAACATGGAATAATACATCAATAATTGGTTAGGTGTTAAGTGGTTCATTTAGTGCTCTACCTACTGAGGGTGATGTCACTGGTATCTTGGAAGTCTCCCCCAGATTCTAGCGCCATCTTGTTAATGAGGGTGTTAGTCGATGTCAAAGGGAAACTCCCTAGTGGCCATTTTAGGTAAATCACATAGAAAGTTGAATAATGCTGATTGTAGTTATACTGAGTAAATAGGAATTTTACCAACATAGATTGTGTTAATATCTTTGTCCACAACAATAGTATATAATATAGATTTTATTTTTACTGCACCTTCGTTTTTTGCCTTTATTGGCTATTTCTTCTCATATCTGTGATCCCAATAGAGCAAATTTTACCTTTTTGCACAATTTTGATTGGTCCAAATTGTTTTTCCCAAAACTAGATTTTCTTGGGAATAAAAAAAATATGTATTGTATGTAATAATTATACACTTTATGTCAGTAATGCAACTTGCCCCTTAATGCCCAATTTTAGATGTGTCTAGAGTAGAGCTGTTGCTGGAATTTGACTTAATAACCTCTCAATAGCTATTGATCTATTTGTCATGTAGAATTAGGACAACGTGTTTAATAGACACAAACGTGTTTTAAACCGTTTCTGTATTATTTGTTAGAGATCTGTGATAAAATGATGTGCATGAAGATTCTAAGCTCCTAGAAAGACACTAAATGGTGTTTGTAAATCCAGAGGGATCTACAGTAAAACATGCACTGTCCTTTCTTAATAAAGATACTTGGCAGATATATCACAGACGGATTAAGAAAGTTAGGAATATTAACGTACTGTGGATTGGTATAGATGTCTCTACAGCGTAAGCATTCCCTTCCTTCTGCTACATAACTGTCACATTTCAGTTCCACACAAGCTCCTTTCCTGAGTAAAAAATCTTAATTTTCTTATAATAACTGATGCTTGGACATATTTGAAAAGAAAAAATAATGATTTTTTTTCCCAGCAGAATTAAGGACAAAATTTCTTTGCTATTTGAAAAGTGCACTTATGAATACTCTATATATGTATTTAACAGCCAGTGTACTATGAAGAGAAGGATTGGAGTAAAGAGCAATATTCGGGTGGCTGTTACACTGCATATTTTCCTCCAGGAATTATGACCCAATTTGGAAGGTGAGGTGGCAAGTAAATTAAATACATAGGTATTATGTCACTCCAAGCTAAACTCTAAGTTTAAGCACGCACTCAGTTTTCTCAAGAGTCCTCAGATTTTTTTACCACACTTCCAAAAATTCTTGATCACTGAAACAATCATTCTAATCTAATCTTTTAATACGCAGTGTTATTCGCACACCAGAAGGGAAAATTTTCTTTGCTGGCACAGAAACTGCTACGGAATGGAGTGGATACATGGAAGGCGGCATACAGGCTGGAGAGAGAGCCGCCAGAGAGGTATTTACAGTAATACGTTCACAATAAATATAGCGTTTTAAATGGAAAATTATCAAGTTTTTATATATCAAATTTACATAAGTTAGTGTTAGGGTAAGGTAATGGTTAACATTAACTAACAAAAATTTATTTTGATCCTAGACATATTTGGTATTTAACAATCAGAATTTGTAGAGAAATGTAGATTGTGGGTTTTTTTCTGTAGTTGTACTGGATGTGTAAATAATATTATATGCAAACATTTTACAAAAAAATGTTTTTTTTTTAAATTTTAAACATTTTATTCACACTTAATGCTGTGCTAGGCATACATAAAGAATATTAAATGAGAGTCATTTCTATGTATGGGGGCAATTAAAGATAAACACTTAAATTATGGTGGAACAAATACATAGCACAAATTCTAGATTTTGTTTTGGTTCCGAACTTGGACAAATGTCACTGTCCTTAAAGGGTTGAATTACAAAAAATGTTTTTAAAAATCAGTTTAAATAAAATACATTGTTCTTGTTCCGAATGACATTTTAGTTTCATAAATTGTTATTATTAAGTCACCTAAAAATGTTTAGAACAGCCTGCATGCACCTAACCACACCCAAAACACACCACTAAAATTGAAGCATCCCAATTTCCCCTTTTGAAATGTTGGGAGGTGTGCATTTGGTTTAATTTACTTTAATGGCAGCCCAACTTGTGGGCCTAACTTGCAACAATGCAAAATTTTTGCGGGATTTGTGAAATGACATGGAGCACATTCGGAGTTAACATGTGTTAATATCTAATGCTTTTATGTGCAATTGCAGCAATGCTTTTAACTAAATCAAACTGTCTCTTAGATAAAAAATCCCTAACTTCAGAGGTGACACTAAAACTGTAATTCCTTTTCAGATAATGTTCAAGATGAGACTCATTGCAGAAGATGAAATCTGGGTGGATGAACCTGAATCTCTGGTTAGTACTTTTCTAAGCATGTCTTAACATGCCGGTACAGCAATGTAAAATCATTAAAGATGGCATAGGTGCTGTCTTAAGGCACAGGTTTAGAAAGGGGCCCAGTGAGCCTTTGTCTAGGCCTGGAGCTCCAGCTCTGATTGTGAGCAAGGTCCTCCCTGAGCTAGAAGGAATATCAAAAGATCTTCCTTCATGGCCCTGTTCCCACTCACTTTGTTTAGGGAGTGCTGTGGTCTGCACCTCCACTTTAAGAGCTCCTTTACATTTTCCCTAGTACTTCCCAATTACTTAGAGCACTGAACTGCAAGGGAGGTCTTAATATTGGTGCAGATCACATCACTTCCTTTAACAGACTACCAGGGATAATGCTCCTCAGCGCACCTACACTTGACCACCAGGGATTATACCACTTTCCTTCCAAAAAAAAGCAGGAGGGGACAAAAGAAAAACTTCTGCACATGCCCACACCCACATTTAGACAATATACACACGACACTCAGACTCCCCCACACACACTCAAATAACTCACACAGGTATACTCAGTCACCTCCCCACATACAGCATGCCGCTACTACACATGCCTCACACACAACACTCAGACAGACAGACAGACAGATCTTAAGCAACACATTCCAAATGCAAGTGTTTAACTATAACTATGAGCAAGATAACAAAGAACTGAAAAAAATTTCCCCCAATGTAAATATCAGTAGCCTGCTAAAATGGCAGAGATATGATTTAAATGGCAATTGTAAAATAATGTAATGTACAATATTAATGTTTATCTTGATCAAAGATGCTGAAAACTGAGGATATTTCATGTGTGCTCTTTGGAGCTAATTTTTTAAAATATATGGTCAATAAAGAAACTATCTATCTATTCCTATCACATAGTAGAACTTGGATATTTTCAACTGCCATAATGAGTTGGCATCAACAAAAAAATACTTGTTCTTGATTATTGTTATTAATTATTATCTTATTATGTAATTACTATTATCCAACCCCCAAAACCTCAGTACTAATTCTGTTTTAATTCCCGGCAATTCCCACTTAAAATGTAAAATTTAACGTTAAAATAGCAAAATTTGAAATATTCTCTGTTAGCTATAATTCCAGTTTTGTCTAACATTTGAAATTCACTCTGAATTCTCACTTTGTTGAAAAACCCATTACAAGTTATCAAACTAATAACCTGCTTATGGCCCTGTGGAATATTATTCTTACTCTGCATAACACCATTAAACACTACTGATTATATATAGGTAAGGAACCACAAACATATATATAGTGTACACCATATAAGTGCAAATAGATGAAAATTCACTAACTAGCTTGAGAGCAGGAATTAGGCTTTGTGCAATCCATAGGGCTTCGGTGGTACATTCCCTACAGTGGAAAATGGTGTTCAGAAGATATTTAGAATAAAATAAGATGGTCCAGAAATCTAAATATCTATATTTATTTGAATACAATAAAATAAATAAAGTGCTTAAAAAAAGAAATATAATTGTAAAACTAATGCGTTTAACCACAGCATAGGGCTTTTTTAACGTGTTACATCAGCCTGGGCACTAAATCCTTATATAGCAAATGAATGAGAACAGAGAATGAGAGCCATGACGTGTGTTTCGCCTGTAAAAATGTTTTTTCATGGGGTACGGACTACAGGAACTATCGGTATTATATAAAGCGCCTCAATCACTGATTGGTTACACAATACAACCAATCATATCAAGACTTGACCAAGTGGGCGGTGAAATTGTCACGCCTTCCTCACTCATATTTACATGGAATTGCAAGGAGGAAGGGCAGGTGGTTCAGCCCACAAGGGAGGACTAAAAGTAAAACCGAAATTTCACCTATGACACTAATGTAATCTAAACAGGGGAATGACTTCTAGCGAACACATTTCAACATATTGAGTCTTATTAAGTAGGAAGATGTTTCCCCCTCTGTCTAAAAGTTTGATGACTTCGAAACAGTGTTTTAAGTTCTTGTAAGGCCTGCCTTTCTTATCGAGTGAAGTTATGTTTAAAAGGTCTGTCAGTTATAAAATTCACCACTTCATTAGTGGTCATCTGCACAAACAGGAAAATATCATTTTTTTTTTATTTGATACAGTTAGTTTGATGTAGTTTAGTAGACTATTCACTTGTACATACGGTCTACATTGTTTCTGCCCCTTCAATGAGGTGCGAGCCCTCACCTGAGACCAGTCGAGGGTGGTGTTCATTAGAAGTCTACCCTATAGCTTCATATCTTGTAAGTGCATCTCTTTTTCAACCATATTCCATTGTAACCCATATACTACACTATATTATCCTCCATTGTCCCATTCTACTTGTTCAATAAACCATGTAAGAACACATCAAAGCGCTACTCCCAATTTAACAATATAAGATCTAGATTACGTTATTCTTTTAAGGCCTCGATTCTACTAAGATATATATATTATATATCTCTTGTAAAAGGTTAATGATTTTCCAGTGCTTGTCAGTGGGAGAACTGCAAAGTTACCAGTGTACTGCTCCAGATCTACAACAGAACAGGTTATTCACTAAAGTGTGACTTGACAAGAATTCAAATTGAATTCAAAATGTAATTCCAAATTTTGGCAAAAATCACAAAAAAAATAAAAATAATTAAAAAGGCCAGCTAATTAGTTGTGCAATTTAAAATTTCCTTTGAATTTCTCACAATTCACAATTTAGTGACTAGCCCGGGAGAGCTTTTATAAACTTAGTTATGTAATTATTCTGTGAAATAATTGTAAGCTGGCTTTCCTATATCCTAGTTAGCACTCTTGAGAAGCTTGAAAGCTGTATTTACTTTCAAACTTTTTGTTTTCTCTGTGTTTTTTTTTTTGGGTGGATGGATCTGGCTGGCAAATAGGTCACAGATTAGCTTGTGACTGCCTTACATTTAGTGATATACAGGGAACCGCCAGTTTTTTCTACCTCACAGATATTTGTACCCAGTGATGTAAGAGTTATTTAACTATATCCTCTACAATATATTATTTTGTAGTATAGCAGAGGCAGTGATTTTTACAGAAATGTGTACCCAGTGATGTAAGAGTTATTTAAAGGGACACTATAGTCACCAGAACAACTACAGCTTAATGTAGTTGTTATGGTGTCTATAGCCTTCCCCTGCGGGCATTTTAATATATATTTCAATTTTTTCCTCTGAAAATAGGGTGTTTACATTGCTCCCTAGGGACACCTCCACTGGCAGTCACTCAAACGGCTACTAGAGTTGCTGCCTGGGTAAGTGCGGCACAACGAGCAGGCGCTCTGCAAGGAGACGCTGAACTTTCCCCATAGAGATACATTTATTCAATGCATGTGTATGAGGAGACTCTGGTTGGCGCAGAGTGGCATTTTGATGCACATGCTCAATAGCCTTCCAGTGCATTCCTACAGGAAAGCATTGGATTGCTTGAGATCATCAATCAGCACAGCAGACCTGCACAATGCTGAAATAAAGGTGAGTTTTAACCCTATTTAAAAGGGCAAGGTGGGGAACCTGGGAACCTAAAATGGGTTTTAACACTATTGGGTCAGGAATGCACATTTGCATTCCTGATGCTAAAGTGTTCCTTTAACTATATCCTCTGCAATGTATTATTTTGTAATATAATAGAGACAGGGATTTTCACAGATATTTGTATCCAGTAATGTAAGTGTTATTAAACTATATCCTTTTCAATGTATTATTTTCATAGGAAGTAGTACAATTTTCACACTGTTACATTCAGGAACTGTGTTATTCAATAGTTCTGCCATATACTGCAGCAATAACAGTACTACTGATTTATGAGGATTTTAATAGTATTTAGTAAAAGTGAAGGTTTATTTTTTCAGCAAAATTTACCACTTTTTCTTTCTTTCTTTCTTTCTGACTATCCAGGATGTTCCAGCAATTCCGATTACTTCAACATTTTTGGAGAGACATTTGCCATCTGCTCAGGGATTACTGCGCTTCATTGGCCATACTACTTTATTTTCTATGGCTGCTGCTGTAGGATTTATTGCAGTCAAGAAGGGTTACATAACTCTGAAATGACTTTGTTAGATTAATACTTTTCATGAATGTAGTCTGCTCTGATTTTATGGTACTACTAGAGAAACATTTCTAAGTGATTTCTATTTTTTTTTTTTTTTTTTTAAAGTTTCTTTTCAATGTTTGCCGATTTACAGTTGGGATAGATTGTGACTAAACATATTATTAAATATACTAGATGGCAGAAATAAATTACCTAAACTGTAGATTCAACAGTTTTTGGAGCGGAGATAGATGTTGTATTAGATTTATGAAATTAATTCTAATAACAGAGATCTGTTAACTAAACTGCCATTTACTGATCAATTCTAATACAAAGAACTTAATTTACTAAGTGTTAATACCAAACCCTATGTCAATATTACTCTAAAAAAAACAATTAAAATATTGTGTTCCTTTACTTCTTGATTCAGTTGTCTTCCTTGATACACGAAAATGTCTTCATGAAAATGTATGAACATTTAAGGTTTATAGAATAAAGACAGAAGTTTATATCATTAGCCTTGATAAACAAAACAAAGAAAAATAATCACTGGGGATTCCTATGAATAATTTTGATTCTTTCATTTATCATTACAGTAGAGATCCAGCTGGCATTTCAAACTTTTTGGAAAATGTTTAAGGAACTAGATTAGAGGAATCTTTAACCACTTCACTACCAACCACTTTTTTTTGGAAAAATATTACAATAGCCTTCACTAGTGAACGGTTCGCCGCGGACTCATCATTGAGTAAACTTTGACCCTGTACCTCACAGTCAGCAGACACATTCCAGCCAATCAGCAGCAGACCCTCCCTCCCAGACCTTCCCACCTCCTAGACAGCATCCATTTTGAAGCTGCATTCTTAGTGAGCTGTCCAGGAGGTTAATTTAATTTTTATGTTTACTATATACTATAATTTATTGTGACATAATTAATAATAATAATAATATGTAACATGCGTCACAATAATCAGTGAATATTTAGGTATAACATAATTATACAATATGCCAACAGTTATGGCACGATTACAGATAGCTCAGTAGCAACATATGTTAATTTTATTCTAAAGAAGTTTCATACATAATTACCAATACGCCCTCTAGAATTCAATCAACCGTTATATTCACATAGATGCGATTTTCAACAAAATTATAGAAATCTCTTAGCTTTAAAGTTCCTTTACACAGAGCACATAGCAGCGCAGCTTCCAGCCATGATTTTTGCTGTCAGTTTCAATCACACTGAGTTAACTAATTCACTGCTGGCTACAATTTTCAAAACACCTTTAATATTGCAGCTAACAAATACAATATTTCTCACACCAATAAGTTAATTATCAATTTACTTCCATCCAGTAACTCAAAATAATAATTCTAACCAGATTTTTACACTGCAGATGATCAACTATCCTGATTAAAGATGAACTAAACCTAAATTCAGATAAGTCAATATCTCCTGATAATAGCTCGATATGCCATACTCGGCAAATTACCAGTAAATATATTGCTCATTTATTCCACCTGCAGGAATGGAATGTTGAACCAAATATTTTCTCAGCTAATTATGAATTCAAAGGTTTAAAATCTGATCAGTTTTATCCAGGTATATTTCTGCTTTTAGTAAAAATTATTAAGAAAATAAAATGAAACTAGCATATTTACCAGCTTTCTTGGAAGAAATTATTTAGGCTTGGAGATGTATTCCATTAATGTTGTATGCAATTATGAGTAGAAAATTGTGGAAATAGGATGCTATCAGAGTTCTGATTATTAAAGAATTTCAGAAAAAGACAAAGTGTTAAGTTTTCAAAGTTCCAGAATTTAGATGGAAAGATACAGAGAGTTAGATGTGTCCAGCGTTTGGTTAATGATCAAAGACCTCCTGTCTCTTAATTTATAAGGAAGAGCTTCTCTTAACTTTCTTTGCATCACTTATTTAAAGTGACCAATGGAGCCAGGTGAGTGTACCTTCTTCTACTGATTGCCTTATAGATTTTGGTCAATAGATGGCGTTGTAACACCACAAGTAATTCTCATCAAGAACTCCTACTACCATGTTGTATAAGGGGCTAATGGAATTTCGTGATGCATTTGACGTCATAGTTGTCTTATCTTTTATGGTTCATTTGTCACATATCTGTCAGTCTTCAAAGAGACTTCCCAGACATAGCAACTACTTTTTGGGCCATAAAGTATGATTTTGATGTATCTGGCCTCTCTTTTTTTTTTTATTCTTTATTTTTGTTTTCACTGCATAATGATTAGTCATAACATTTCCATAACGCCTTATAACATGGTTGCATATAGGCCGGTATTCAGAAGGGTATGGGACATGTCAGGCCTAGAGAAGGTATGCACTCTGTGAAGTGGTCTAGTCAGTCCTAGGAATCTGTTTTGTTCTATGTATGTTGAATATTCAAGTGGGCTCATCATAGGTGGGCGGGGGGGGGCTTCTAGTGATATAGGTAAGTTGCGGGTATAGTACCGCCTGAGGGGATTAACACAAATATTGTAGGATGAGCTATGTTCTCTGGCGGGTTGATTTGCCCTCTTGACTTGTGGGGACTGTGTTTAGTCATGTTGTGTGCCAGTGTGACAGGTTTCTGGTCTCTGCTAGTCGAGTGTGTCACTAGTGTGGTAATGGTCTGTTTGGTGCCCGCCAGGGTTGTGGGGGAGCGAGAGCATTGGTCCGCTTCAGATAGTTCTACTGGGTATCTGTCAGTTGGGGATACTCTCGCCTTTCCCTTGTGTGTGTTCGTCCTTCCCTCTAGGGTATTGGAGAGGGGGGAGGTGTTTACCTTCTCTAATACAATGGAACCTTGTAGCAATCCATTAAATTTAAAAAGTAAACTTAATTACTTTAGTATTATCTCTTTCTGGCAATCCTGTGTCTGTTTTTTTAGTTACACTGTCTCATTATGTTAAACTATGTGTAGTACTTAGTAATGTGACAGCATGTGATATATACATGTCTTGTACACACATTCAGCTTATATTAGTTTAATAATAACACATTTTCGTCATTGGGACTCTATCCGTGAATATTCAATATTATTAACATAGGTACTATTTATATAAAAACAAATATGAACGGAAACTTTGGCGAGGGTTTGTGGCTACTAAAAAAGACTGGACATACCCCATTTTAAATACCCTGCATTGTCTACTTTTGCAAATGGTATACCATGATGGGGGTAATTTTCATTTCTGGGCTGCGATATAGTCTCAAAGGCAAACCCATCTGGCAAATTTCAATTTGTAAAAACTGAAAATGGAAAAAGATCTGTATTTGACCGAGTAACTTTACAAAACCCCATAAGACCTGTAGATAAGGGTACTGTTTTACTCGTAAGACATCACTGAACACAAATATGTGTGTTTTTTTTTACAGTAAATACTAACAACATTATGACATTCACAGTTAAAATGCCATGTAAAGTTTGAAAAATAAAATTTCTTAATTTCTAATTTTTTATTTTATTTATATTAAATTAAGTTTCATATATGAATATTTGATGGAAATAAAAGCCCTCTTTCTCCTGAACAAAATGATATATTACATGTGGGGACAAAGGGTTAACTTCTCAAAAATGCATGTAATTGTTACATGTCAGCAGAACTGTTTATATGAATACATACACATACATACAAAAAACAAATCATACAAATACAAATAACCAAGAGTGCCATGATGTGTAAGCAACTTTATTTAAGACAATGATTACATTATATATTTATGAAAAATTGTGATTAAAAATAAAATCACTCAGCACAAGAAAATTTAATTTGAATTAATTATATTATATTGATGGAGGTCAAGTATGCATTTTTCATTCTTGCTAACTTTCCAACTTGAAAAGAATATGAGATTAACTTGTATTAGTAATTGTAACGGCACCCCCAGGCATAAAAGGGTTACACCGCCGTTTAGTAGATCTTCCCTTCCAGAGACACAGGCACAGCTACTGTAGAACACCAAACTCCCGAACTGGATACAAGGGAATGCTCCAAACACCCGAACTGCATACAAGGGAATGCTCCAAACTCCCGAACTGCATACAAAGTAGCACTCCAAACTCCCGAACTGGAACCTCACGAATAGCTGCTAGCAGACGAACAGGAAAAGCACCCAAGCGGCTTACACTCCTGGGAATCAGTCTCTAACAGCATAAAGAAGGCTTTTTAACATGGGGCCATAGTCCAAGGCAACAGACGAGCAACCGGGCTTCTCCAATGCTTCGTGGCGAGGTTGGTTTCGCCACATCTCTCTCCTTTTCCAAACAGACTAACAGGGTATCTGACCTCCTGCCGGTCAGTGCCCTTGTTAGTCCAGCAGCCCACCCACAAAACACAATCAGCAGTACAGCCCACCCACAATAAATGGTTACTACACTCGGGTAGAGAAGATACTTGTCCATGTCCAGGTGCCTCACCACAGCTGTGCGGGGGATTGGTGGGTTGCTGAGTGGGCAGAGACCAGCGGCACTCTGCCCTGGTGCCAGCACTACCGTGGAAGTAGCCTGGTTGGAGCCTGGTTGCTGAAGGGGGAGACTGACTGTCTCCTCTTTAGATACACAGCTCTTCTGCTTGAGGGGGAGACCGACTGTCTCCCCTTTGGCTAAACAGCCCTGTCACTGGGGGGCAGGACCGACCGTCCCTACCCCCTGTGCTGTAAGTGCAGAGACCACGGTCCCATCTGCACGGTTGTGGGGCTTATGGTCTCCCCTGGGTATGTCAAGCTGCCGCTGGGGAGAGGGGGTAACAAGCTCCTCTCCCATATATACTTCCAGCCGCGGGGGAGTGATACCGACTGTCTCTGCTCCCAATACAGAGTCCTGCTGATGGGGAAAAGAAACAGTGTCTCTATTCCCTGTAGGACACTCTGCCTCTGGGGGACAGGACCAACTGTCCCTGCCCCCTTTAACTCACTCTGCCGCTGGGGAAAGGAGACTGGGCTCTCAATTCCATGCATATTACACTGCCACTGGGGAATGGAGACTGGGCTCCCAATTCCCTGCAAATCACACTGCCGCTGGGGAATGGAGACCGGCTCCCAATTCCCAATAAATCACACTGCCGCTGGGGAGAGGGGGTAGCAAGCTCCTCTCCCATATATACTTCCAGCCACGGGGGAGGGAGACCGACTGTCTCCACTCCCAATACAGTGTCCTGTTGCTGGGGAAATGAGACTGGGCTCTCTATTCCCTGTAGGACACTCTGCCGCTGGGGGACAGGACCAACTGTCTCTGCCCCCTGTAACTCAGCCTGCCGCTGGGGAATGGAGACTGGGCTCCCAATTCCCTGCAGGACCAGTGGAAAGACCTTGGTCCCATCTCCACCAGCCACCTGGGGTTCCTCCCAGCAAAACTCCACTATCTCGTCCCAGCTGAATGGGTCTGCCTCTGGGTCTGTCACTCTGCTCTCCTGCTGAGCCTTCTCACTGGAGTGGAACAGCTGCTGGTAGCCCTGTTCCAGCTCGATCTCTCGGGTCACCAGGTGGACCAGGTCTTGCTCAATCTCGTGAATGTCGTCCCAGTCATACCTGCTCTCCCTCCACTCAAAGAGATCATGGAACCGGGCTTGTGTAGGGCTCCCAAAATCAGGGTCTGAAAAAGTCTCCCATAACAAGCCAGGACCATCAAACTCCTCTCCCTCTGGCTTGTCATGCTCGGCTGTCCAGGGCAGGTACTGTGCCCCATACAACCAGAGCGCCTGGTAGGCATCTTCAAGCCAAATCTCCTGCCATAGCCGGAGCTCCAATTCCTTCACCCATTTCTCCAGGGGCTGCTCTCCCAGGAAGGGCATTCGCAGGGCTAGTCGCTTCTGCAACCGCTGGTCTTCCTTGGGGAGTCTCTTGCCCCGCTGGTATTTCACAATACCCAGTGCCTGGTACCAGATCCTTTTTTGGACTGCATCTCGGTCATCCATGATACCCTCATTGTACTCCACTGCTGGTTCCATCCCGGTGCCGTCAGGGTCGCTGTACTGGGACATGCGTTGCCCTCAAATTATAAAATCCACGTAATAGTGTCTCCTGTAGCTGTCCTTCTGGCTATAGGAATGATCCCGCCGCTTGCCACCAATTGTAACGGCACCCCCAGGCATAAAAGGGTTAAACCGCGGTTTAGTAGATCTTCCCTTCCAGAGACACAGGCACAGCTACTGCAGAACACCAAACTCCCGAACTGGATACAAGGGAATGCTCCAAACTCCCAAACTTCTAGCAGACGAACAGGAAAAGCACCCAAGCGGCTTACACTCCTGGCAATCAGTCTCTAACAGCATAAAGTAAATCTCCCCAAAGACGAGACAGAGCTCCGTGTTGAGGGTCAAGCAGTGGTCTAGTTTATTGAGGGCTACCTGCCCAGTATTTATGCAGGTCTCCCAGCTGGTGGACACTCCCGTAGGGGACCAAATGAGCTGAAGTGGTCTGGGTGCCTATAGTGGTCCTTTAACTATCAAAACAAAACTAGTTTTATGTAAGTATTTTTCCTAATATTTTACACAGACATGATAGCCTAAGTAATCCTCTATTATTTAATTTGCTGTGTAGCTCCTATGCAGAGTTCCATCCACAACAGTCTCTATTGTAAGGCTAGGTACAGTATGTTGGGGACATTGCTACAAGACCATGAGATCTCTTCCATCCACCACTGGAACTCCTGCATCTACACCTGACATGCATAGGAAGTGGATGTAAAGTAAATGGTGGTAGAGGAAAAAATTCAAGGACAAATGAAGGAATAGAAAGACTTAACATGCAACCAAGGGTAGAACTGACATGATGGATAGCTGTAGTGAGGGTAAGTGAAAGACATAAGCAGAGTTTTCATGAAGACTTTGGGAGATTTATTATTATAATGTTAGTATGGCTGGTATGGAGTCACGGACAAAGATTGCATGGAGACACGGGTATCGCTACCATGGGCAAGGCTGGCCTAAATGTCCATGATACTGTGGAAGCAGGTATACGAAAAAGGAGAATCGTGCATGGAAAGAGGGAGGAAGGGGCCTACATATAAAGATTGAGGGAGACAAGCTGACATGGGTAATGATAGTTGAAATAGGAATAGAAGGAGAGCAAGAATGGAAAGAAGGGGTTTGTGGAGCTGACATTGCAGACTGGAATTGATACTTTCTAGGGAAAATGTGATAGGCTGAGTTAACTTGTTCATACATATATGCAGTCTTTATCTGATCTGCACATAACAAACCCCATTCGGTAGGAGTGGTCAGTATATAAATCAACAAAACTTTCAAAAAGATAATAAAGAACACACTGAAAATGTTCAAAACATTTATTAAATAGGTTTTTATATGTGTATCTAATTGATTTATATTTGTACCCTGTATTTGTATCCTTGTTTTATGTACTGTGCTTTACTGGAGCCTCAATTGGGTCCTTTCTGGGGTAACTGAGTTCAGCAGGACTATCTATGTGGTCTGATACATATAATAATAATAATAATAATAATAATAATAATAAAAGTATTTAACCAGGAAAGGCACATTCAGATGTTCTCTGGTTACATATACTTTCATACTGCCATTTTGTGAGCAGTACTAATAATTAGTTTTTCTAGATGAGCTTTACAGCATTACCTTTATTTTATATACATTTGTTTAGAGGAGATTGTGAAGAAAATGGACTTTTAATTGACATTTTCTTCTTTGTTCGGTATTTTTCCTGCTTTACTACCTGTATAGTGAATGTATTAGTTCATTAGTTTGAAACTACCGAACGCCAACCACCCTCCTGGCTCATTAACTACAAAGGAACCAGCTATTAAGTGCTCCCTTCTTCGCATGAGGGGAGTCAGCGGGACTTGGACGTCGAGTGTCTGGAACTAAAATCGGACACTCAACCTCGCGAATCACCTCTGAAACTACCGAACGCCGGCTTCTTGTATTTCCCGAACAGCCAGGGAAGCGCCGTTCAGTAGTTCTATATGAACAGACAAGGGGAGCATTTGCTACTATGAGCCAGGGGGATCCATTCGGGACCTTTGTTCGGTTTTTGTGTATTTGTGAATTGACCGACCGCACACGCTGAATTCATGGAACTGTTTTGGGCAGGAGCTGCGTGTGTGGTCGGTAAAAGGGACCCTCCACACTTTTTCAGAACCCCTGAACCGATCTGGGTGAAATTTGGATATGTTTGTCCCCCAGATCGGGGCTATCAGGCGATATGTAATTTGTGGGGATACCTGGTGGGAAAAGGGGTGTTCTGAGTTTTGGGAAATTTGTGTGCTCTCTGCCTGGAGATAATTGATTTATTCCTTAACTTATCTCAATATCTCCCAGGCAGAGAGAAGGCGTGTATTACTGTAAATCTGTGTGTTGATTGGTTATTGTCTTTGTTTTTTGTGGGAGGTACTCTTGCAGGAGGATTTCTCATAAAAGCCTGTGTGTGTCAATAAAATTCATTCCTTTTACACGCTTCATGAAGTCTACGCTCATGTTTGGGGGATATTCTATTTGCTGGGAAGAATCACCTTGGAACTGCATTTCATCTACCTTATTCCTCTAACCCCTGCTGTAGCTATAATCACTTATGATCAGCTGTTGGTGAAAGGGAACAGAAGACAGCAGCACCATAACCACTGCAGGTCTTAACAGAGATGGAAGAACTAATGAGGATATTTGGGAAAACCTTTCTATTTTCTTAAAGGGGAGATATGGCGATAGTAGACTGTGACATCTCTGATGAGGTACCCAGCAAATGGTGGAAGAGCCAAAGATGTAATAAGCCAAAGATGTAATAAACATTACCACAAATACCCAGCAGACTATACACATTTATATAATTTTTGCATGCACGTACATAGACACGTACATAGAAAAAATAAATAAAAAGTATAAAAAATGCAATAGATCCCAGAATGTTTTATGTAACACTTAAACAGTGTTTTTATTTGATACAGATAAGTCATTCACATACAACATAGAAAAAACAACCTACAAAAAAAAAATGAAAAAATTACTGCAAATGGTGCAGATCCAAAAACACCAAAAATCCCTTTAGACCAGGGGTTCTCAACCCAGTCCTCAGGACCTCCTACCAGTCCAGGATTTGGGGATTACCTGGGTGTGTCTCAGGTATTTAGAAAAAGGAAAAAAAACACCTTAGACTCTAAGGTGTTTTTTTTTTCTTTTTCTAAACACTTTAGACACACCCAGGTAATCCCTAAACCCTGGACTGGTAGGGGGTCCTGAGGACTAACGTTGAGAACCCCTTCTTCAGACTAAGATACACTCACAAGCATAAAGTAATACAGGCAGAATACATTGATCTCAGGCAGGACATCTTTCTTCTCTTTTCCCAACTTCTTGTATAGTGCGACAGATGAAAACCCATTGGCAAGTAGGGTAAAGAGAGTTATTTAAACAATCCTAGGTCAGAGTCCAGTTATACAATTGAGGGTAGGAATACCAAGTAATAACCAGGAAATTGAAACCGGGTGTCAGACCTTTAAATCCAGCCAGTACCAGAACATGAAACCTACAAACCTACAACAACCCAGTCCAACTAACAGTCCAAGTCAAGACAAAGTTCTCTTTTTAATATATTGGATCGCAGGCGAGGTTCGCTGGTGATACCTGAGTGACAGAAGGTTAGAGCAATTAGATCATACAGAAAATACTGCTACAGTACTGAGTACTGATAGCAGGGGTTTAATTATCCCACTTAAGCGGACGCACTAATTAAAGAGGACGCACTAATTCAATTCTAGAATGACTATACGCAGATGCAATCTGAAAACTCAGTTAAAATCCAAAATCCAGTACTTAGAAGCTAAAGTATCAGATCTAGAAGGTTGATCAAAACGGAAGAACCTAAGTATAAGAGGTGTTCCAGAAAATGTTAAATATCAGAAGCTAGAAACCTACTTATTAAATTTATTCTCATCAATAATGGATTGCTCTTCATATGGCTCACACCCAGTTGAGAGGTTTCATAGGTTAAGAAAACCAAAAGATATTTCAGCTCCCAGACTATTATTTTAAAGATATAATTACGAAAGAAATAAGGGAAAAAACCTCAAAGATGAAAGCTACAGGGACATTAGCTTCTTTGCAGATATTCGATGGCCACTTTGTCAGCAAGAAGATGCTTTCAAGGAGTAACATCTATACTAAGGCAAAAGAAAATAATTTATCAATGGAGATTGCTGTTCAAACTTATAATACAATACGACGGCAACTCACATTTTTCTACTGATCTAATTCAAACAAAAGATCAAATGACCAAATGGGGCCATACTATATAGTCTTTGAGCTCACTTAATTTTATATTTGATTGTTGTGTTTTTTTCCAATCTTTCTCTCTCCTTCTAATTTAGAAAGCAAGATAATATGCACGTATAATAAAAAAGAAATGGAGACACTGATATAATTCACCAAGCACTATGTTAGCGGCACAATAGAATTGCAATTTGCTCGATTTGCACACTTACTAGCTATAAAGATAATAAGAATAGGATTGATAAAAAGTAAAATACTTGATTGAAAAGATTATCGCAACAATGTTTTCAAACACACACAAAACTGAGTAAAATAATTGAAC